TACCTTCAAAATATATCCAGAATCCAATCACTTGTCACCACTGCCACCATTGGGTCCGAGTCACCTCTCATCTTTTTTTTTGTGAGGAAGATTAGCCCTGAGATAACATCTGCTGCTGATATTCCTCCATTTTGTATGTGGGTCACCTCCACAGCATGGCTGACAATGGTGTAGGTCTGCACCTGGGATCCGAACCCACGAACCTGGGCCGCCGAAGCAGAGCACGCTGAACTCAACCACTACGCCACCGGGCTGGCCCCACGACCTCTCAGCTTGATTATGGCAGCAGCCTCCACACTGGTCTCCCTTCTCCTAACCTCCCCCTACGATCTAGTCACAAAGCAGCAGCCAGAGAGAAGCTTTTAAACAGTAAGATCAGACCCCCTCTGTGCCAACCCTCAGAGGAACAGCAAAGCCCTACATCAGCCTACAAGGGCCACCTGCTCTGCCCACCTCTTGCCTCTGACCTGGTCGCCGTCCACTCTTCCCCTTAGTCCCTCTGCCCCAGCTGTACTGGCTTCCCAGCACCTCTGTACCACAGAACCTTTGCACTCACTGTTCCCTCTGCCTGGAATGCTCCTCCCTCGGGCATCTGCGTGGTTCATTCTCTGACCCGTCAGGACTGTTCCCATGTTACCTTCCTGGCGAGGCCTACCCTGATAAGACGTGAACCTCCACAGGTGTTCTTCCCTCTCCCTTACCTCATCTTTCTCCCATAACGTTTGTCACCGTCTGAGCTACCCTGTAACTCACTTCTTTATTGTGTCTGCCATCTGTCTTCTCCACCGGAAGTCAGCCCTTCGTTTGTCCCCTGCTATAGCCCCAGCGCCCACAGCAGTGGGACACTGTGAGCCCTCACTGCGTCCAGCCAGCCGGGAAGCACCCGTCCCTCTGGGTGGAAGGGTGCACGGGCATCCTAAGGGCTGGACGGTCTCCCAGGGTGGGCAGAGCTGGCGGGGCACTGGCAGCAAGAGCCTGGCAGGGCCTGCCAGCCTCTGCTGGTCCCACCACCTGATAACTGCTCAGGTCTCACCCGGAACCTTCCAGGCTGCGTCCTGGCATTGGGACTACAGATCTGCCGTCATGAAGCCCCAGGGTGACCCTGCGCCGGCGCCACTGAGTACACACTTGCTGGAGGTGTGAAGGGTGCTTTCTCCCTGGCTGGGACCCCCTCACTCCAGGTGGGGCTGCAGACACTCTCGGCTACACCCGAGTCCTTCCAGACAGATGGAAAGAACAAGCTTCTCCCAGAGCCGCCACCCGCCAGACTCAGCTTTGTTCTCATCAACAATGAGGTCGTCCCCTCCCACCTGGCCGCCCTTCCCCAGCCCCGTGGCTTGCCTGGTCCTCTGAGTCACCACGCTTGCCATACTGCTGCCCTGGAGCTGGGCACGCGCTGCCCCCCAGTTTGGCATGCCTTCCCTGTCTGTCCCCCGAAAATGCCACCTCCCAGTCTCAAGGCCGCTCCCCGTGAAGTCCGCCAGCCCTTTCCCAAGTCGGTGCTCAGATGCCCCCTCAATACCAATTACAGGACCGGGCCTGGGCCGTGGTCTGCACCCCGGTCCATCTGCCCTGTGCTGTGAGTGACTTGAGGCCACCGGACACCTAGCCTGGAGCACAGCCTGGCACAGAGCAGTCCTCAGTGACCATCTGCTGAGTAAATCAGCGAAGGAGCTCCAAGAGGGGGGTGGCCTTAGCAAAGCCGAGTGGCCCTGCCGAGCCTATGCCTGCCCCTCACCATAGGCCTTGGCACCAGTGATACTTGGGGCCAGGTCAGTGTTTGTTGAGTGGCTGTCCTGTGCACTGTAGGATATTTAGCAGCATCTCTGGCCTCTACCTGCTAGATGTCAGTAGCATCCCCCCCCAAGTTATGACAGCCCCAAATGTCTCCAGACGTTGCCAAATGTCCCGAGGGACAAGTCATCCCCAGGTGAGAACCCCTGCTCCAGAGAATCTAGTCTCCTCAATCATGGAGGCTTCTGGGTTTGGCTGTAATGGCGTGGGGATGCTTAAGTCAGATGGGTCTCTAAGAGGAAGCCACCTCCATGGAAGGTGCAGTCCCTTCTCCACAAGAGTGAGGACCAGGGAGGGTCCTTCCTTCCTGTCTGTGGCTGAGTCCAGGGGTGGCAGCCTCTGCCACCCAAGGAACCCGAGACTCGAGTCTCAGCAGGAGGCTGCAGAGACAGCTGCTGAGCATGGAGGACTCTGCTGCCCGGCCTGCATGCCAGTCACATCATGGGCATCAGTGGTGGCGACATTAGGCCGGCAGCCCCTGGTGATCCGGCTAACCCTCAGGAGTGCCTGGTCCTGGGCAGGGGGCCCTCCTGCTCCAGCAACCAAAGTTGATGAAATAACACCCTTGTCGACGGCCACAACCGACATGTCCTGAGAGGCTGTGGGTGTGTGGGGGGCGTCGGGGCTGTGCGGAGCGGTCTGCAGGCTTAATCACTTAGTCCTCCCGGCTGCCCGTGAGTTGGCATTATCACATCCCCTCTACAGAGACGGAAGCGGAAGCTCAAGGAAGTGAAGCTCTTTCAGAAGGGATCTCCTGAGTATCAACTAAGCCTTGCCCAAGGTCACAGTTGGTAAGAGAAGATGCTGGGACTGCACTGCAGGGATACGTGACCACAGAAAAGGGGCCCCCATGCCTCCCTGTAAAGTGAGTGGGGTCCTCAAACCTCACTCCCTGGAGTCCTCCGCCCGGAACAGAGCAGCTCCGCTTTTACCTGTCCACAAACCATTTTGCTTGAAAAACAGCCCTTCTTATTGACATTCGAGAGCCTGGGCTTCTTGGAAGAGGGAGGGCTCCCGAACGAATGCCTGCCCGAGACTGGGCACGGGCTGCGTCTCCCACTTCCATGAACACAGCTCACCCCGCCCTGGGTGGGTGAGACGCGGATGAAGGGCCGGCTGGCCAGGGGCCCCCCAGCAACATCACAGCAGTTCTCTCCAGCCCTCTGGGTTCTCAGCTCGGTTCCCCACACGCAAGCCCCATCACCTTACAGGAACCAACGCCGTGCTGAAGCCGAGACCAGCAAGCTGCGTGCCCCCCAAAGCCGGCATGCCAGGGCCGCGGAGGAAGGAGCAACATACCCACGGCAGCCACTCGGAGGCCCTTTTAAACACAAGCAGACAGAAGCGTCGCGGACGACTCGCGCACGCCAATAATTATATCATCACGTCGCCTTAGCATGTACACTGCAACTGTGCTCCTCAGAGCATCAAATAAGCACAGCATTTTGTTCAGACCCCTCAACTAGAGAGAGAGGAGAAAGGCCACCCCAGGCCACCCCCGAGCACCCTGCCTGGCCTGGGGACATCACCCAACTGCAGCCAGAGCATGAAATCTTGCTCCCTTTTCTGCCTCTGGAGCTGGCAGTTTACAAAAACAGAGTCAGCCTGCAAAACCATGAGCTCAATTAAATCTCACTTTAGAAGCACTTGGGGAGACTTCCTGGGTAAAAAGACTTTGGGCTAAGTAGGTTTTTTTTTTTTTTGCATTTTATATTTTCATTTAGTTAACGGATCTTTAAAAAGTGGGGGCTTACCCACACTAGCAAACAGAAAAGCAGCAGAATGTTAGCTGAGTTAGATTTAAGTTTGTCAGCCGTCAAACCGGAGAGCTCTGCTGGTTTTATGCTCATTTCTCCCATCTGAGGGGGCAGCTCTAGACACACCCGCGTCCCTGAGTGACCAGATGAGACATGGGGCTTCTGGGAACACCAGGCACTGGTGGGAGGCTGGCCCGCGCTCTGGGGTGTCCACTGGAGGATGGAGTTCAGTGCGACTCCGAGAGACGCCCATGGTTCTGTGTCACACATGGGAGTTTCACGTTCTGAATCCTACATATTAACGCACGGTGAACTCATACCCCCCACCCCCACCCCAACCAGTCACATCGGTGGGGATGGCAATTCTTTTCCAACTCCGTAGATCTTGAGATGAGAAACATCCTTGGCCACAAGCATGTGGACCACCTAACAGCCAACTCTGCAGAGCTCTCTCACCACCAGCCCCGAGCGCTGGCTGGAAAGGTCCCTTCTCAGGAGCCTGATCATTCCAGAAACTCACAAGACACTGTTCCCTCCTTCCTCTTCCCACTCACTTGCCCACATTAACAGGAGCCCTTGGCTGGTCCTCTTCCACATCAGGAGTCAGGGACAAAGCAAGAGACTCCGCCAAACCCAGAGCAGGCTGAGGCCAGGATGCTGGCTGGGTATGGGCCGCTCTGCAGAGGTGCCTGCCCGTGGCCCTGGGCACCCAAGCCCCACTTACTGGGCTGCAGCCATCAGGCCCGTGCTGCACCCAGCATGGTCGGCCACCATTCCTGATCCTCACAAGCCTGTGAGACAGGTAAGGGTGTCTCCATTTCACAGACGAGGAAGCGGCTGCCAGGGGGTCGGCGAGTCAAGGATACCTGAACAGTAAGGGTGACAAGAGTAAGCAGGGACGCAGGCCCTTATGGAGCACAGACCATGTGCCCAGATTCCCACGCATCCTACCCTGGCCCCGGTTTCTGCTGAGCCCTGCTCGGACGCCACACGCCAGTGGAAGCACGGGAAGGTGGAGGGACGGCTACCTCGGGGTGGCAAGTCTTGAGGTGCCCTTTGGACCCAGAATGAAAGTGTTTGCTGCTTCTCCTCAGGCCAGAGCCCTTTAAATAAAAACAACCCACACGTTCTTGTGTTTGTATAAAAGATATTTACTTCAATTATCACACCTAGGGTGCTAGTGAATAATAATAATACATGGTGTGAGTTTCATACAGTGATATTGCTTCTCCATATCATATAGGGACCGTTGTACAGTGCTGAGAACAAACATCGTATGGCTAACCAAAGACAGAAGGGACAACGCCGAGGGGCCGACGGGTGCCTCCCCCACCCCAGTGCCAGCCGGATCAACTTTTGACTCTTAATGCCGAAAACAAAGAGCAAGAAAGAAAATGTTACCAGAGGTGGGTCACAGCAACAGAACAGAGGCTTCTCAAAGCTGTTTGTACAAAAAGGATGCTTTTTTTTTTTTTGGTCAATTGGGTCTCGGTGAAGATTTAAAACAAAAAAAGAAGTCTGTGATTGTATTAACAAACGAGCTCTAAAAACATCTAAGACTTAGTGCGTTACAGAAAATATAAAATACTGCTAAAATGTAAGACACCACAATACACGGGGGAGCTGAGCTTATTTTATTAAGAGTTTTCCGGAAGAAGTCGGCCACTCGGTGCGCGCTCGTCTTGTGCTGTGTTAGTAGTCTGGACAGGCGTGGCGCTACCCGCTCTCACAGCAAGTAGTTATTGCACAATCGCAAAGAGCTAGGTCTTACTCAGTGGAAAGGGACGTGGGGAAAACCACCTTCTCTTTTTTTTTTCCCACTTTTATGACAAGTTATTCTCAAATGCTTTAAGAATTTGGAACGAATCCTCACGTCTCCAAAATGCACAGCATTTTCTGAGGGGTCTCAGATGGTGGGACATGAGATGCCCGTTTTCTCAAGGAAAGAGGCAGAAAAGGGCTCGAGAGAGAGAAATGCATAGACTAATTAGAGAGAACTGAAAACCCTTTGGGGGATGGGGGCCGCCATTTCATTGGAGGGCTTGCTTTAGAAGAGATGAGAACAAAATCAGGACCCCTGGCAACTGCAGAGAAGGGGAGAAGTCAGGGCACAGAATGCGAGGGGGGGGGGGCGGGGCCTGTGGGAGCCCAGGCGGCCATCTGGCCCCACCTGGCTCCTTCTCCGGCCCAGGCCAGCCCCACCTCATCCTCACACCCGCTTAGCAAGCAACTAGGTGTCTTGTTGGCTGTGCTTCTAGCCGCAGAGAGCTCTGCCCCACATCTCACATTCCTCCACACTTAACCACATCAAGGGGGACTGGGGGCCCTCCACGACCTCCCTGGTGTAGGTCCTCAAGCCATAGCTGGACTAAGAAACACTGTTGCTTTGCAAGATGGTTTTGACCAACTTTGTATGCAAGGAAAACGACGACGACGACAACAAAAGCCAACTAAAACACGTCAGCCCACGGGAGCCTTGCAAGAAAGCCCTCCCTCACTCGGCAGTGGGTCCGGGGCAGGCTGCCGCACCCTCACCCACCAGGGCTCCCGAAGCGTCATGAACCCAGAAGTCTTACCAGAGGCTCTAGGAGGCTTTGGGGAACTGAACTCTGCCTTTCTAAGTCTCCTCTGCAGCTCCTCTCTCGAGTGTTCTTCCACTCGGCACTTCCTTACATTGGGAGATTTTTGTTCAACTCTCTCATTTACAAAGTTAGACACGGGGAGACCACCAGTTTTTGAGTGGCTACTCTGCAGACAGACGTCTGATTCTGCTGGAAAAGCCCCCTCTGCGCCCCCAGCAAACCCCCAGACCCTTTGGTTCTTTTTGGGGGCGGGGAGGGCAGGAGGCAGAAGACAGTTAACCACTGGAGTGATAGCAAAAAGCATTTATAACAATAACAATACAAAACAACAATACACTCCTGATAAGTACTTAAATGATTAACCTAATAATAAATAGAAGAGGATAGAAATAATTTTTTTTCAAGGAAATAATCCTTTTATAATTATCCTCACGCACGCTGGCAGGTCAGTAGCAGTCAATCCATCTCAAGAAAAGGTTAAGTGCTGGAAGGGATGGCTGTGGTGTCACACTCAGAGTTCTCAGCTGCTGAGTCACAAACTCCCGCCCTGCCACCCAGCCTGGGCTTCCGGCCGGCGCCCGTGGGCCCAGCACCTCCAGCTGGGTGGGCGACAGCAGGCAGGCTGGGATGGGAGGGAGGGGCGGGGGGGGGGGTGCTGGGGAGGCCTGTTTTCCCTTCAGTTCATGAACAAACAGAACTACAGTGAACGTCCACAACCTGAATCGCCCGGGTCTAAAGCTTACTTCGAGTTCATTTGGTGTGCAATACATTATCTCTTAAAAATGAAGCGAAAGGATTTCTATTGCACAGAGCTTTTTACACATAGTCATCTATTTAAGTGCTTTCTGTTTAAAGCAAACTACAAAAAAAAAAAATAAAGAAGAAAAAAAGGACAATGAAGAAGGAGAAAAACGGAACTATCAAACAAAAGCAGCCCCGTGCCACTTCAATGCGTCCTGCTGACTGGCGTCTGGTTTCACCAGCGGAAGTCCCATGGCTTCCGTCCACACTGTGCTTTTGATTCTTTTCCATAGGGGTATAGCCGTGACATTGGGATTTAAGGCACCTTTCCTTTCTGATCACAGAAAGCTCGATACATAGCATACAGCATATTTTGTGGTAGAAATTAAAGCCTAAACACGACAGAAATTACAGTAACACAGACTCTACTTCTTAATGTTATTGGATAAACAAAAACGATTCATGGAAAGCAACTCCAGGGGACTTTAAAAGTGTAATACCAGGGGGTGGGGAAGTGCACATTTATGCATAGCCTAATGTCTTTCTCTCACTAGCCTTTTTTAGGATTCTTCGCCTATAATGCCCAACTTTTAAAGTTAGCATTTGGGAGGAGACTAGGCGCTTTGGAAATGTCTTGTTAAAGCTAAATGTCACTTCATCCAAAAATGAAAATAGGGATGATGCCACTGACAGCGTGGACACGGGATCTTTGGGGGGCAGGTGATGGGGAGGGGCGGTGGCAAGGCCTGGACAGTGGGGGCAGTTCCTCCAGGTGGGACAGACAGGGGGACCACATTTCCTTCTTCCTCCCTGACCAGGCGTGACGCTCAGAGGCTGCCAGGGCTCCAGGGTAGGGAAGACTCCGGTGAGGCTCATTTTACGCCCAGCTCCCTGAGCCCCACGCCCCTTTCCTCCTCGTCTTAATTTACCCCGAGGGCCTTGGCCTCAGCTTTCGGCACATCTCAAAGGGTTTCACAGGCTGGATCTTTCTGGAACTTTAATTGGGAACTTGTTTTCCTCTTTTCCCAGTAGTTTTCATCAACAAAAAGGCAGAAACTGATAGGAATGGAAATAATATTGTCAAGCTGGACCATTCTCTTAGCAAGTGAGCGTGCTGGCCAGATGGACATCCGATGCATTGGAAATGGAACTACAGCATGCTGGAGCCCCAGGCCACCACCTGCCACTCAGGGCAGGAGCTCTGCCTTGGGGGTCATGAAGGCTCCCCTAATGCCACCGAGGCCCAAACCAAACTGCAGAAGCATGGGGGGACTTCGACATGTGAGCTTCTCCTGGTAGATGCCCAAGCACACGGTGATGGCACAAATCCTTAAGGTCTCACTTCCAAATTCTTTCATCAAGAGAATCCAGGACCAGAGGGGATTCTCCCACATCCAACCAGCGGCCCTGGGTGGAAACCGGTACATTCTTTTGGGAGGAAAGGGTCCTGTGATTGAAGGCTGGGCGTGGGAGCTGGAGAACGCCACATCCTCTCCTGTCCTTGAGATGCTTCCAAAGGAGAGCTCACAGTGGAGCTGAAGTCACAACCTCCCAGTGCCAGAGACAACGAAGACAGGGGTCCCCGAAGCCAGGCAGGAATCCTGGGGAAGTGTCTTCACGTGGCCATTGAGGGGCAGCCCAGGGCAAGGGAAACGGCTGTGACGGATCTTCACAGCTGAGCAGAAAGGGGCAGAAAGCAAAGGCAGGCCAAAGACAAGCCCCTGTGAGGCCTGAGACTGCCCCTGCCTGCAAAGGAAACAGCTGTCAGAGCTTCAGGAACAGGTGGAAATCAAGAGAAAAATCCATGTGCCTCGCAGAGCGCAGCTGTCTGTCCATGTTGAGCTCACAAAAGACAGAAGGCGCCTGCCTGACCACCAGGCCAAGAGCTACTCATGGATGCCACGTTTCTAGCTTTTTCTCTTCCTTCTGAGGGGTGTGGGGCGAGGAGTGACATCGAGTGGGAGCATGGGTTAGAGAGGTAGAAGGGGACAAATGAGGAGTGTGACAAGGGAGGAAATCCAGGGAGGGAGCCAAACCTCCAGCCTGAAGGGGCGCGGCTAACAGCCCACCATGCTCGCCACACATGCTGGAACCTCGCCTTGCTCCATCTCCCGCACAGCTGCCTTACTGGCCTCAGAAAGTAGGGGCTTGGGATGGCTAAGGGCAGACTCTTGTTCTCACAGGCCTGTTGAGAGGCGCCTGTCACAGTGCATTTAAGGCAAGGGCTGTTGTCCTCGGCTCAAGATCCAGTAAGTCACCACCCCTGGTTCTTTGTGCTAATCCCAGAAGGGCGCGTGTACACTCCCCTTGGGCCCTCTGCTGTTTCCAGTGAGGTTTGTTTTTCTAGAATCAGAGGAATGAAAAACATTGCATAGAATGTCAATAGAGTTCATCGATCACCTCTGCCTGGAAGGACATGAGTTCAGGGGGAACAGACACCCAGTCCAACTTCAGCCGGGAAGGCACCTGCCTGTGGACCGAGCTCATCTCGTGGCTTGTGCCAGTCTCTTAGGGCATGACTGCCACATGATCGCAGGGTGTCGTCCGACGCCAGAGCCTTCCCCCGGATCAGAGCACAATCTGCCTTCTGCTGGGTTTGCTCGTGAGCTGCACGAGGGATGTGGCCCGGGCCAAGGAGGCAGTCGGGGTGTTTCCTTTCTTCTAGAGCTGGCCAGCTGGGCTTGGGATGTGGGTGGGCCTCTCATGGCCAGAGAGCACACAGAGGAACACTTAACCCAAAGCTCTGTAGCACTCTGGGTCTGGACCACCAACCAGCAGACCCGCCCGAACGTCCACATCGGACAGGGTGGTTTTCAAATGGGGAAAAAACAAAGATGCCAACAGGAAGGAGACTGGGCAGGGAGGCATTTGTGCTTTGCAAGTACAGGGAACCGTGCCAGGGAGGCCACGAACTGTCAGCTTTTCGCCTCAGTCACTTTCCCAGACATAGTGGCCATGGTTTGATAGTAGTCATGAGTCAAGATCCTGGCATTTCCTGGAGCTGTCTCCTCGGCCTGCATTCCGGGGCTGTGTGCTGACTGTAGCCACCTCGTGTCGTGATGTTCCTCAGGCAGGTGGGCTCTGATAATAACTGAGTTGAGCCAAATGGCTGTGGTAATCCTTTCTAAAGAAGAGTGGTCTGGTGGAAAGAAATTACAGACAGCCTGACTGATGCAGAAGTTCGAGGGAGGAGGCCGCCTGGGAGCCAGGCGGTGGAAGCGAGTGGGCACGGTCTGGGACAGAAGCCACACACCTCCACCTGAGATGCCACCGAGAGCGTGGGCAGGAACCAAGGGTCAAGAGGCTGACCGTGAACACTGACTTGATGCTGAGCCTCCACTTAGCCAGCTAAGTAATGGCAAAAACCTTAAGTTATGAACACTGCCTCCAATTAACAAAAAGAAGCCATTTAAAATGGTATAATGGAGCTTGTAATTAAGTGTTAGTGTTTTATACGGAACCGTTTTCCCCAGGGGAGAGGTACAAATCAGCTTTTTAAACCAGTGGAGCATGAAGCGGAGGAGCTGGGCTGCCTGTGGGAGCGACTGCTTGGAACGCCAGCCAGCCGAAGATAAACCCCGCGGAGAGGATGCTGTTCAAGGCACTTGAATATTGCTTATCAAGAGGAAAGATCCACCCTTAGGCTCAAACTCAGGGGTGTGTCGAGGAGGGGCACCCCCGCCCTGGCCCCGACAGGTTGCTGTCACTTAGCGGCAGCTCTTAGAAGAATTGCAGAGGGTGACGGCTTAGCACAGAAGACCACAGGCTTGGGGTCGCAATAAAAATAAATAGGAAAACACAACCACGGAACTAGGAGCAAAACTGAACCAACTGATTGCATCGAGCACCCAGATGTAAGTCTGGCAAAAAAGACAGAATGGAAATCAACAACAACCTAGTTAAAAAAACCAACCAACCAAACACAAAAACTACGGAATTGCTTGGAAGAGCCAAAGTGGCTGTTTTACACTGTGACACTTTGGCCACTAGGGTGGACAAATTTATACTTTTCCCATTTCCTCGGATTTAACACCTTTGTAAATAACAGTCATGCCTTTAAAAACTAAAATACTACCCTAATATTTCCTGTTTACTCCCTGCTTTTCATTCTCATGAAAATCAGGTATTTAGAGACTCATCACACGTGATGACAAAATTCCCTCGAGGTTTTTGTGGAGAGGACACCACAGTACTGTCAGGGGCTCTGCCACTCACTGTCCTAAGGTCACTAACCCAAACTCGCTCTTCTTAATGCACCTGAATTCAGCCAGATGTTCATCCCTTTCCCCTTAAGCTCCTCCATCTTGAATTCTCTTCTCACTGAACCAGATGTCAAGTTCGGAGATGATGCAACTATCAAGAGACAACCGGCCTGCCTCCCAGCCTCCTAGAGCCTTCTGAAAACTTCTCATTCATGAAAAGGCATTGTCTTTAGTGTAGTGACTCTTAAATTGGTGAAAACTTGATCTAAGTGTTGCAGTTGCAGGTTAAAGACTGTAAATGAAATACATAATTTCTAAAACATCATGCAAGAAATGTGGTTTCACATCTTACAGTCAAGCCCTACAAGTTAATTAATACAAGCACACTGAGGTGTAATAGCGGGAGCATATCTTTAAAATTATAACTCCCTCCCACCCTCCCCAAATCAAAAAAGGTAATATTAATTAAACTTAAGAAATAATGAATGCACCATTAAAATGTCATCCAAAGATGTTGACCTAAGACAAAAGTTTCAATGATACACAATACGGTCAAAAAGTTTTCAATCAGTAATATACAGTTTGACAACTACATCTTGTAAATTATACCCAATACTGCCGGCAGTCTATCCCTCTAAAGAATATTTGCCCCTTTCATCCCTTCCTAACAATCAGATAATAAAATACAGCACCTATAAATAAGCAAAAAAAAATATATATATATACCGAAATCATCTATTGTTAGTTTAAAGATATGGCAATAAAGGAGTCTAAATTAGCAAACTTGTAGAAGCCATAACTGAGAAAACAGCTTATTGAAAAAAGGTGGCAGTAATGCACTCTATGTGTGCACAGGTACTTAAGAAAATACACAGACGTATAAAATTGCACACACGCACACACGCACACTCTCATCCGCCTCTATTCTCACGCATATACACATAGACAACAGGAGGAATCAGAGACAAGTTAGACTTCTGATTTGTACTTAGACTCCCTAAACTGTGCATAAAGGAACGCTCCAAGAGGCAAAAAGAATGAAGGGCCAATGGTCTGGTCTGGAAGTGAAGAGCATCAGCGTTTTGGTGTGAGTTTGGGCCATCTCTACAGGGGTGGGAGCAGAGCCCAGACTGCCACGATCTCTCTTCTGCAGGGAAGGAAGCTTCCCACGACGTCAACAGTCATCAGTGCTTGTGGTGGGAAGGAAGGGAAAGAGAGAGCGCGCGTGCCAGCCCTGCCCAGGCCCAGGGAGCGGCGTCCCCTGGTGGGGCTCAGTCCATCAGGCGCCCAGGAGAGTGGTGTGAGGTGCGGTGCCTTCTGTGCCAAGGAAAGACTGCTGTCTCTGAGGGGCGGCCCCGTTTGGCCCCAGAACTGCCTGCTGCCACCTTCGCGGCCTACTCTTTCCTCCTTGCTTTGAATGCTCGCGCACGTGCAGACGCACTAACACAGACGTGGACACCATAAATTAAACAAAATGAACGGGTACATGCTACAGTTCTAACTTGTCTCCTAAACCTCCGAGATATGAGGTCTGATCAGCGTGCTCTGCGGTTAGAGGTTAAAAAGCAGATTATAAAATACCTAGATTCGGATCTTTTCTTTTTGTCCTGATTTGGCCTAGAATGGAGTGTATTAAACAGACCCAGGGCAGCAAAAGCCCGGAGTCAGTTAAAGCTATGGATCAATGTGCACTACATGTCAGGATTCTATTCACGTACAAGAAAACACTACGTCAGCTACCACAAAATCAGTTTCCTGATGTGACTTTTCTTCTTGTTAAAAAATATGTGGAGTAAATGTGTTTTATTTTAATTCAAAGTTTCAAACGAGAAGATTCTTTACTTGAAAATATTTAGGAATCCAAACTAGTGTGTTTAGAGTCGGTTTGACTGTGCAATCTCTTAGTGGCAACTGAACAGCTACAAAAACTTTCTTTTTTAATTTTTCTGAAAAATCCCCCCCCCCTTTTTTTTCCTGGTTTAAGAAGATAATAGTGTATTATCGCTCTGAAGCCATTAGATGGCAGATAAAAAGCCCCCTTTTAATATGTGGGTTTGATTTTTTTTTTTTAAAGCCCACACGAAAGAGGAGGGCACAAGGCAAAGCTGTAAGAGTTATTCCAGAACCTGTGGAAATCACTTAGGGCAATAAAAAAAACACTTCAGGGTACAAAAAAGCTCGACTACACATTTCCGTTTTCTTCCTTGAAAACACGACATAGATTGGGCTTAATGCTCCTTTGTTTTCTATATGCACCTTGGCCTATGGCGATTTTGCCCTGTGGCCCGCAGGGCGGTAAGTGCGCAACACGGTCCAGGCCGCGGAGTCGGCGCCCGCCCCTCTGCCCGCCCGGCTCGGCCCAGCTCGGCCCGACAAGACTCGGCCCGGCCCGGCCCGACCCGACCCGACCCGACTCGACTCGACTCGGCTCGGCCCGGCCCAGCTCGGCCAGACTCGGCCTGGCCCGGCGAGATTCGGCCAGACTCGGCTCGGCTCGGCCCGGCCCCGCTCGGCCCCGCTCGGCCGGCCCGGCCCGGCTCGGCTCGGCCCGGCGGGGCGCGACGGGCGGGCGGCGCCTCTCAGAACTCCCATTCGATGGGCTCCTCACGGCTGGCGGCCTTCTCCAGGCGGTGGATTATGCTGTTCAAGTTCGCAGCCTTCTTCTTCCTCAAGGGGTTGTCTCGCGAGTCCCTGGCGCCCGCCGCCTCCGGGAGGCCGAAGAGGCTCTGCAGCGAGCTGGCCCTGCGGGCGGCCGCGGGCGCGCTGGTGCTTGGCAAAGCGGAACTCCTGTCGGCGCCGTCCCGGGCCCGGCACGGGCCCTCCGCCGGCGGCGCGGCTGAGGTAGCGGCGTCCTCCCCGGCCGCGGGCGCGGCGGCGGGGTTTGGCACGGGCCCCGGGCCGTCCGCGGGGCCCTCGGGCGGTGGCGGCGGTGGCGCCCGGGCCCGGCCCTCGCCGTCGGCGTCGTCCGCGGCGGCCGGGGCCCCGAGGGCGGCGGCTGCGCCTTCTCCGCCGGCCGCGGCGCCTCCTCCTGCTCCTCCGGGGCCGCGGCCGCCTCGGCCGGCCCTCCCTGAGACTTGGCGGCGGCCGCGGGGCCGCCCGACTCCTCGGCGTCCGCGGCGCCCGGGCCCTCGGCGGCCTCCACGCCGTCGCAGCTGTCGCCCTCCGAGCCGGGCGCCGCGCGGCCGCTCCGGGCCGACGGGGAGTCGCTGGCGCCGGCCTGGCCCTGGCTGCCGGCCTGGATCTCCTCGATGAACAGTTCTCTGCGGATCCGAGACCTGCGGGACACAAGCGGGCGCCGTGAGGGGGCCGCCTCCCGGTCCCGACGCCCGCGCCAGCCCAGCCCGCCGGCCCCCACGGCCCCGCCCGGCCCGGAGCCCGAGGGGAGCCCCAGCTGCCCGGCCGGGTGCCCGTGCCCCCTCCACTAGGACGGAGCCGCTGCTGCCGCCCGACGGGCCCACGCTGGCCTACTGATTATTCGGAACTAAAGACCCGCTCTGTTCCCCCGCAAGGCAGGAGATCAGGCTCCCGCGGGAGGTGCCCTCGCCGCCCCGAGAGAGGGAGACGGCTTCGTCACGTCACCGGAGAAGGGGAGTTCGGGGGGAAGCCTGGATAGACACACCTCCTGACTTTCTCAGGAATTGACTGCCCCAAGCCCAGCTGTGCTTAGATTGCTTCCTAATCAACTCCCCAAACTTAAGTTTGTCCTGTCAGATCCTCACTGATTGATTGATTGTGTAAAAACTATAGCACCTGCCTGCTTTGGTCATTTCTCATGCATCATTTTTATGATCTCCTGTATGTATGTATTAAGTTGGGTTTTCTCCTGTTAATCTGTTTTGTATTAATTTTATCATTAGTCCAGCCACAAGAACTCGAGGGCTAAGGGGGAAATCCCCTCCCTCCCCCGACATAGCTAGTGTCACTCACTTAATGGCACGCTGCCTCCATCACCATCCCACCCACCTCGGCCGAGGCTATGAGTGGTGAGGTGCCCTTTACTCTCTGCATGTCAGGCCAGCATGGTGCTTGGTATACAGAATCAGCGCTGACTGAATTAATAAAGGGAACTGCAGGATGACGGATAACCACTGCTTCCTCATCAGGACGGCGCGAGAGAGAACCAATTATTAGGCAGGGCCCCAAATGAAAATCTTCAGTGTCCAGCTCTGAGCCATAGGCCAGGGGCTCTGGTCAAGGCTGAGGTGGAATTCCACCAAGTTGTGTGTTTTCACCTAATTTCCTTCTCTGAAAGGAGGCGACCAGGGAACAGTCACTTTTGATCAAGCAGGAAGGAGACCAAATATGTACTCCAGCACACCCAGCAAGTTTTAATCAAGCCGAGGTCAGCCTGCAGTGGAAAATGTGCTCCGGTACTTGGTTGGGTCTGAAGGAAACAGCTGCCGAGGGCCGTGGCCTTCCCTGTTCTGGAGCCCTGGCTGACGTCAGGAAAGGGCTCTTGTTATGTCTGTTTTTGCTCCACGGTTTCTCCTCCCATCATGCTCACAGTACTAGGCTCAATCAGAAGGCTCTCTAGGTGTTTCTTCCAAAGAGCTGAAAAAGCCTCTGAGGATGTGCAAGCCCTTAGTGGACAGGCATCTTCAGGTGCCTTAGCACCACCCAGAGTCTTGCAGAGACTGGGCCTGCACAAAGCCCACGGGTTGGGCATGCATGGAAATATTTTCTGCAGTACATATAACTCAATAAAGGTAAGATTTTTCGAGAGCTTACTACAGGCCAGGACCCGTGCTGGATGTGGGGAGGGCTAGGGCTGGGGAGAAACCGGCTCTCGTTTCTGTCAGTGTGTCAGAACTCTGGCGGTGGTGATCTGTTCCATAGTTTGCTCCCTGCACAAGGTGAGCTCTCATCCTTGTCTTGAGGATGTTTCTGAGCCAGGGCTGCAGGGTGAGGTCCTGAAACCCCCCAGCAGCTCTAGGCCTAAGAGAAGACTTTCCTCCTTCCCTGGGGCTTCCTTGGGAGCCTGCGAAATGGCAGCTCCTGCCACAGGTTCCTGGGAGGGCAGACCTGCTCTTTACTGGTTTTCAGGCCCCTTGGCAGCCGAGAATGCCAGTTGGGCTGAACACCCACTCCCATCCAACCCTGGTTGGGGAGGTGGGAGGCTAGACAGGTGCTGAAGGGTTTGGCCCTAGCCAGACCCCAGGCCCAAGCACTAACTCTGAGTCTCAGGAGCAGACTGGCCCAGAACAGAGCACAGGCTTTTTGGAACCAGGCACACCTGGGTTTGAAATCTGGCTTTGTCACTTAGTAGCTGTGCAACTTGGGTACGTTCCTTAACCTTTCTGAGTTTCAGTTTTCTTATCTGAAAAATGTGGAGAACAGTATCTTCCTTGCAGAGATGTTAAGATTAAATAAAATGTTAATATATAATATAGGACACAAAGTAGACCCCCCCAAAAAAAGGGGAACTCTTCTAACCAGCCAGCTGCCTTTTGAGTGACACACCCCTGTTGTAAGTGCTAAGGCTGAGGTGGAAGGGCTGAGGGAAGAGACAGCGTCATGCCTGGGGCTTGGGATCTGGGCTGCCACCCTCACCAGCTCGGTTAGTGAGCATACCCTTTCTCTGTAAAATGGGGCTGGCAGCACTGCACCTGACTGCTGACCGGAGGCTCTGACAAGATAACACATCTGTGAAGCTCTTGGCTCAGTGCCTGGCACATATTACTGTTCCAAAGAATGAGACATCATCCCTTTTTTTTTTTTGAGGAAGATTAGCTCTGAGCTAACTACTGCCAATCCTCCTCTTTTTGCTGAGGAAGACTGGCCCTGAGCGAACATCCGTGCCCATCTTCCTGTACTTTATATGTGGGACGCCTACCCCAGCATGGCTTTTGCCAAGCGGGGCCATGTCCGCACCCAGGAGCCAAACCGGTGAACCCCAGGCTGCCGAGAAGGGGACTGTGCGAACTTAACCGCTGCACCACCGGGCCGGCCCCAAGACATCATCCTTCTTAGCCTAGATTTGTCTCCATGTCTGAGGAATACTGTCATCTGGGCCAGAAAGACCAGGTCCCAGGAGCAGATCTGGTTTTCAGACAGTTCACAGGACACCACGGCTTTTAGGGCCCAGAAGAGTTTCTATGGTGTGGACCTGTCCTTCCAAGACGAGAGCAGGTGTCCTGTGGTATGTTGTCCTGGCATTCCTGGCCCCAATTCTAGGTAAACGGTCACTGTAAGACACTTCTAATTTCTTTAGGGTGAAAGGATAACACGAAGTCAAGTTTTATGTTTTCGATGGGGGCAAAAACTGACCCAAGCATTATTCCCTGAGAGTTCCAGTCGGGGCAGGAGAAAATAAAATCAACTTCTGTTTAACTCCTGCAGAAAGAATGTGAGGAACTGCCTTCCTGCTTAGGAATGAAACACATTCAGTGCACTGTGCCTGTCCTCGTTTGAAGCTCTGTGGGGTATACCAGGTAAGGGGGCCTGTCCTGAGCGTTCAGTGGAAGAGCCACAGCCAGGGAGACAGTGCTTGCTCAGCTGGAATCTCTGCTCTACACTTTACCTCCCGGGTGATCTAAGGCAAGTGACTTCCATTCTTTGGGCTTTATGCCAATTCTGAATGACCTCGTGCTCACTTCTCATCTGACCTATTTCGTGGCTTATAAAAGTCTCTAGTTCAGTTCTTTCGAGACCCTGTGCATCTCCTGCTTCTTCCGGGATATTTTTCCAGATGTCTGCAGCTGAAACTCATCTCTGCCCTTGGTTTTCCTATTTGACTTACACCCTTGGTTGTGGAGTTATTTTTGAAGGAGAATATTTACTGAGCATCTACTCTAGATCCAGACCTGAGCTCATTTACTGAGTTTTGAGTTCCTACTGCTATTCCCCTCTCTCCTTCCTTCTCTATTTTATGCCAAGGGTGTAGAGCTGAAGTTGCTTATGTGAAATGCATAAATGTGGCATCTCCCCGAGGACCAGCTGATCATCATGTGATGGGCATTACCATGGTTGTCAGGAGGCCAGCAAGATGAGTGACAGCAGCTGGGAAACCTGGAGAGAGCCTGCCCTGGCCAGGAGGCAGCAATTGCCACTCAGCTGAGGCCTGAGGGGGAGCTGGGAAAAAGGTGGGCCCAGCAGGGCCAGGGGAAATGGCTTTGGGGATGTTTTGTGTAATCAGTAGCACAGTTACCCAGGTACTGGGTAATCCACAGCATCGTGCTCTCCTGTCCAGAGTTATAAACTTGAATTAAAATGGACATAACTTGCAGACGACTCGAAAGTACATATTCAAATGCACCTTTGTGCCTAGAAAGTGAAACGGGGTTGCATAACACTTGGCAGGGAGGGGCTCCGGTGAATCTCTGCCCACACTTCCAGTCATTCCCCCTCAGTTCGCTTGTTTACCACTCTGGAAGTTACCTTCCCTGTAGAGGGAGCTCCATTATTCTAACTGCCGGCCTCGCTCTGCCTCCGCCTTTATCTGACTGGTAAATTTAGGATGCAGAGGCTGGTTGTGCTCAGCTCATGTACCTTCTTTGTCCCCATGTGAGCCAGTGCACACATGGGGAGGCCTGCCTGGGGCCAGTGTGGCCATCATGGGTAAATGTGCCTGGTTCCAAGGGTCAGGTAGTGGGTCTGTTCGGCTCTCCTGCTAAGCTGCATCTACTAACTTAGTCTTATACAGGTGTTGTTTGGCTCCCATCTAATATTTTAAAGTTTCCCAATTTGTTCGGAGCCTGGGAGGTTTATTGGGCCCCTCCAGAAACTCCAGCAGAGCATATCAGATGAGGCAGGGCCCAGTTAGAGACAGCTCCTCCCTCTAGCCCCTAGGACTGTCTGGGATCTTCGACTGCCTGCCCCCTGTTTCAGGTGAGTAACTGCTGAGGGCGCTGCCGGCCCTGGCTACACACATGTACTTGTCACCTTGGCACAACCAGGAGCACCGACCCCATTTTTACTGAGCCCTAGAGAAAATGATGTTCTGAGGAGAACCTCCATTGATGGCCCCATACAAAGAATTAAAGAAACAGGAATCTCCCTTAGGCCCCTGGGCATTCTTGGTTTCTACTGGGGAGTCCTGGTTAGTGCTGCGATCAGCATTCGTTATCTTCAGTGGATTCCATGATCCAGTCCAAACACGTGCCCTCAGTTGACTGTGTTCCGTAGGGAGCACTGGGCCCTTCCCTGCCTGGGGAAGTGACTCAGCCCCTCTGGGCTTTACGTTTGCCATCAGCAAAATGCAGATAATACTACGCCCCTTATTATATAGGGTGAGGATCAGGTTGTTTAAAGCATTAGGTCAGCGTCTGGAGATCTGCTGGGTGCTCAATAAATTTTCATTAACTCATGAACTTCCCCAAAAGAAGGGTCTTACACTATTTATTTAATTACCAAACTAATCAACTTAATCTGGAAAACAATACTGTGAAAGACCCCAAGAAAGCATCCAAAAATCACTAAGAAACATCCACTCCTACAGAAGCATGAATGCCTGCACTCTCCCTTATTAAATGACATAACCGAGAGGATTCTTTTTTCTGATCATAGCAGATGTGAACTGTGTCTAACTACATGACCCTACACCTTTGGAGTTAAAAACTCCAATAAAGGGGCCGGCCCCATGGTGTAGTGGTTAAGTTCGTGCCCTCCACTTTGGTGGCCCGGGGTTTACGGGTTTGGATCCCAGGCAGGGACCTACATACCACTCCCATCGTCAAGCTGTGCTGTGGTGGTGTCCCACGGATAAAAAACAGAGGAAGACTGGCACAGACATGAGCTCAGGGACAATCTTCCTCACCAAACAAACAAAACCTCTAATAAAATAGCATAAAAAACCGCCTAACTGACCAAACCACTGAGAACTTGAACCACTGAGAACGGACCAAGTTCTCAGTCCCCAGTCTGCCAGGGCCGAGTTCCTAGAACTTCACTCCTGTGCACCTTTAGTGGCTGCGCCCTGCAGCAGAGCGGCCTCTTCCCAAGGGCGGAATGCGTGTTGTGTGGAGCGTCATGTACTGGGCCGAGGGCAGGATCGTACCTGTAATTGTGGAACCAGTTGATGACAGTGCTGGTTTTCAAGTTGAGCTGGGTGGCGAGTTCTTCGATGGTTTTTGGTGACGGGTATGGCTTTTGCTGATATGCTCTCTTCAGAGCTTCTTTCTCTTCAGGAGCCAGCACCACTCGGGGTTTCTTCAGCTGGTGCTGGGGCTGGGGGCTGGCGCCCTGGCTGTAGTCAATGCCAACGGAGGGGGGCTCACAGGGCTGGCTGTCGCTGACTGAGCTGTGCCGCCGCTTCATGTATGCTGAGGGAGGGAGAGAGGGCAGACTGAGGCGCAGGCCCAGCTGGAAGGTCCGCCCGAGCCCCTGACCCCAGGTACACGGTATAGTGTCGGCTCGCGATGACGTGAGTAGCTGGCTATTCTGCCCTGCTCTTCCAAGGGCATCTCAAAACACTCGGACTAGAAAAAGCACTCGGACTGGAACCATTCTGAAACCCATGACACACTCGTCAAGGAGCTGCTCTGTGGTAATGTGTCCCCCCTGACACTTTAGTGGGGGACGCAGAGAAGTGTATAGACAGATGACCCCGGCAGAGTGCACTAAGGGAGGCAAGCGCAGGGTCCCCTGGAGCGGCGCACTGGGGGAGATTACTCGGCGCAGCCCGGGGAGGGGTGGGGGAGGCTTCCCAGGTGACATGATGTTTAAACTGAACCGCGAAGGACAAGGAGGGATTAACCAGAAAAAATAGGTGATGAAGCAGAAAATGGCAGGAGGCTGCTCCAGAAAATGGGAACAGCAAGTACACAGACACAGAGGCATGCAACAGCACGGTTCAAGTGTGTTGTGTGTGTGCCTGTGTGCATGCAGAGGGGTGGTGGTAGGAGGAGTTGTCGTCAGACATAAAGCTGGCAAGATGGGCAGAGCCACGGTAGGCCGGAAGTCTGGACTTGAAGGCAATGGGAAGAAATGAAAAGATGTGACTCAAGGGCGTGATATGATCAACGCTATGTTCCTGAAGGCTGCTCTGGCTACAGTCTCGAGGATGGAGGGGAGGGAAGGCTGGGAGGAAGGCGTTCAGTTAGGAGGTAAGAATGACGAGGATTTGAACCAAGGCGGCGGTGGTGGGGCTGGAGAAGAGCAGCTGGACTGTGGAGATGTTACGGGGTAGAACTGACAGGCCTGGGGACTGATTAAACGAAGGACTAAGGAGCAGGGAGCTGAGGATGGCCCCCTGGCTCAGGCCTGGACGATGAGGTGGGTGGAGGCATCTTTGGGTTGGGCACCATGGAAGGAGCAGATGAAAAGGAGAAGATGATGGTTCGTCTTGGAAATGTGGAGTTTGAGGCGTCTCTGAGTCATCCACAGTGAGAGTTCTGTAGGCAGCTGCATAGATAGGTATCAAGCTCAGAAGAATGGTCTGGGCTAGAGAGAGGAATCTGGAACCACTAGAGCAGAAATTGTAGTTGAAGTCAATGATCTTGATGGGAAAGAGAGGGCCGAGGACAGAATCCTGGAAAACACCCCCGGGCAGAGGAAGCAGCAGCCTGCAAGGATACAGAGAGCTGAGAGGAACACCAGGAGACAGCAGCGTAACAGAGGGATGAGTGAGGAGTGATGGTCAACATGTCAGGGCTGCAGAAATGAAGGTGTGACAAGGACCCAGAATGGCCTTTGGATTCAGTGATCAGGCTAGAACTGGAGACGGCGGCGAACAGACACAGTGGAGCTGTGGGAGCAGAAGCCAGACAGCAGTAGGTTTCATAGTGAATGGGAGGTGAGGAAGTGAAGGCAGTGAGCATGAATTACTATTTTAAGAAGCCTAGAGGCCGGCCCGGTGGCACAGTGGTTAAGTTTGTGCGCTCTGCTTCGGTGGCTTGGGGTTTGTGGGTTTGGATCCCAGGTGTGGACCTACACACTGCTCATTAACTCATGCTGTGGTGGCGTCCCATGTACAAAATAGAGGACGACTGGCACAGATGTTAGCTCAGTGACAATCTTCCCCAGGCAAAAAGGGGAAGATTGGCAACAGAATTTAGCTCAGGGCCAACCTTCCTCACCAAAAAAACAAAAAACAAGCCTAGCTGTAAAAGGAAAGTGAGAGAGCAGACGGCTTCAAGAAGGGAAATCCAGGGTTGAGGAGGGTCTTTAAAGGTGAGAGAGCTGGTAAGGTTTCCAAGCTGAGGGGAGAGAGCTGACAGAGCTGGTGATACAGGTGAGAGGGTGATCACTGATGGTGCAGGAGAATGGGCCTGAGCACAGGGGCAGGGAGGGAGGGAAGGTGGGTGACATACAGACAAGTCTGTAGGGACTGAGGTGGGGGCAGTGGATGGCGTTTGTTTTCTTTACGAAGTAGGAAGGCAGAGGACAGGTGATCTGAAGTGAGGGGAAATGTGGTGGGGGATGGGGTGGGGAGAAGCACGAGGACCCCACTGAGCTGAGGCAGCACCCACCCGTGAAGGTCTGGGATATTCTCCAGCAGGTCCCAGACACCAAGGAGGCTGGGTGGAGGAAACTGGCAGGGCTCTGATTCAAGGCTGGGATTGCAGGGGGACGAGGAACGGAAGGAGGTGAGAGAGAGAGGACCATGTCCAGAGCGTACTGAAGTGATGGAGCATGGAGTCTGGGATGTCTGGGGAAGGAGGCAAGGGCAGCAGAGGGCAATGTGATGGGAGAAAGCAGGGGAGGGGATACAGGGGCTGGAGGCCACCCTGGGTAAGGTGCAGTGAACGGAGAAACACGGCAGAGGGAAGGATGGCAGAATGTGGTCAGTGAGTGGGGTACCTGAATTTGGGCTTTGAGGTGGAGTAGCTGTGGGTGATAACAAGATTGAGGGAGCAGCCAAGGGTTGAGGAGGTCAAAGAACTGGAGGCCGGGGTGCTGGACGGGTCAGATGGGCCTTAAAATCCCTTGGAGGAGGCAGGACGTGGGCACGGAGGAAGGCAGTGATCCAGGAGCCAGTCTTGAGACGAGGTAGAGAGGGAGCAGGAGGCTGGCAGGTGATGGAGATGAGGAGGAGACTGAATGTGAAGGTGCTGGGATGAACTTCAAGGGGGCGAGGGCTCAGCCCAGGAGAAGAGGCGGAGGAGCGGCTGGAGCAGGCTCAGGCCTGGGGCCACGAGGCCCACCCGAAAGGGGCAGCAGAGACAGCGAGCGGCAGAGGCCGGGACGAGGGGGCACCTGTGCAGTGACTGTGTCTCTCCTGTGGGAGAGAGGTTAGGGGGGCGCGGTGGGAGAGGGCAGTGCCAAGGCTCAGGGACTCATGTGCGACTCTTGTTTGGGGACGTGCTGAGTGGACTGTGAAGTACAGGGGAGGTGATTCCTGGATTTCAGGCTCTCTCTGTTCTATCCGTGCTTTCTGTGCTTTATCTGCCCCTGCCGGTTGTTACCGTCATTAATCACCAACTATGCTGCAAGTTAAAACCACTCGGACTTCTTGAGCAAAGGAATCATCCAGAGTGATTTTCCTAGTGGACTAGTTTTGAATACGGTCTGAAAATTCTTTAAAACTTCTTAAAAACAACAGAAGACTAAAACTAATATTCAATTCACATACTATATAGTAATAAGAGTGCAGCATTGTCAGCAGCAGCAGCAGCAGCTGACATTTCTCACTTCATCCTCCCAGTTACGCTGTGGGGGGGAGGCCATTATCACCCCTGTTTACCGATGTAGAAACTGAGGCTTAGAGAGGTGAAACAATTTGCCTGAGGCCACACAGCTAGTAAGTGACAGAACTGAGGCCTGACCTAAGTCTGTCCTGGGCAGCGCCGCCTGCCCTGCCCTACGACATGGTGGCCACTTGCCCTGCCACATGGTGGCCACTGCCCCTGCCTGCCTTCCCAGCTGTGGCATGGCAGCAGGGCCCGAGGCTGTGTCAGTGGGAGCCACTGCGAGCCAGGGAGACGCACGTCAGCAGCACTGGCACTCAGGTCTCCAGTGTCACTGGAGAAGACAGGATCATCAGGGTCCATCTGTAGCCTCCACGAGACCACAAGCTAGCCAAGGCTGCATGTGTGTGCGCGTGTCCAGGTGCCCGTACTGTGTGAAGGGCCATCTCATGAAGGGAATAGAACGCAGAAGGTAGATGAGGGGAGAGAAAGGTTTACAAGAAAGGAAGGAAGGAGAGCAATAAAAGCTTCGCGCTGAAGGGAGAAGCAGCAAAGGCTTTCTGGACAAGAAGCAAGCGTAGCGTACACGTGAGTCCTGCGGTCTAGGTTACTGGTGCAGAATTTTTAATAGAGGGAGCACAACTTATTCACCTATTTCAAAGGAATATAAATTCTTTAATAACGGTCGTTTACTGAGCACTTGGGAGCAGCTTGTTATACTAGGTACATTCTTTCTAATCCTCACAACCGGAAAAAGCTACCATTACTATCCTCATTTCAGAGGTGTAGAAACTTAGGCTAGGGACTGAATTCACTTGCCATTTTATGAATAGAATTAGGAAACCACTGAGAAGGCAGATCTTCTCCCCGCTAAATTACTATGATAGAGCCAGAGGCCAGAAAGAAACGACCCTGGTCTGCCCAGCCAGCCCCCTCCCCCCGGGTGGGTGACCAGGAGTCTAGGGAAACCACAGGCAGTGCTGTGCTCCGGGTCACCTGATCTTGTGTGTGACGGATCAGGGGCCTTGGTCTCCTGCTGGGGCTGGTGAAGACTCCTCTAGTGAGCATCCTTACTAGCGAGAGAAGACAGTGGGCCACAGCCACTTAGGGACCTTGGGATGTGAGGAGGGGCCTGGGCTTGCTGAAACAATAACTCTTTTGTAACACAAGATGGCGCCCAGAGCCCATGAGGGAGGAGAAATGGAGGTCTAGGAAGCCCCCAAAGATCTGTTTGTGGGGGCTGAGGGCCTTTCCTGCTGGCCCAGGAGGAGAAACACGCCAAGGAGTGGGAGAACCAGGGCTCGCTTTTGTGCTGATGTCTAGCAGGAGGTCTTCGGCAGAGCCAGCCTGGATGCTGAGCTGCCGCCAGGAGGGAGCTCCCTGGCGCTGGGAGCGGCAGCCTCAGCAAGCTCGAGGAGGGAGGGCACTGCCTTCCCACAGAGCGCAGAAAACTGTCAAACCGCTTGTTGGGTGAGTACTGACAATTGTTGAAATTCAGTCATGGATATACTGGGTTCATGATATCATTCTCCCTACTTTTATGTTTGAGATTTCCCATACTAAAAAGTTAAAAAATTTGGGGGGTAATGTGGCCCCAGGCCTCTGGAGCTTGCAGCACTGAGGCCTGTGTCAGAGCCTTGGTCTGCACACCTGGGGGCAGGCAAGAGCCCGCGGGAGCGCCCCGGATAGGGTGAAGGTGACTGCATGGGCGCATGGTCCCAGTGTGGCAGGTGCTCAGTGCAGGCAGCACACACACCTGAGAGCACCAGCTTTGAAGTCTGACAGCCCCAGCCATGGATTCCTGCTCCCTACTTATGCCAACTGTTCAAATCAGGTAAGCTGTGTCCCGCCCCAGCCTCGTCGTTCACCGATAATGACACGTGTACTAGACGGAGTTGTGTGGAGTGAGTGAAGTCTCAGCACAGCATCCAGCAAATGGGAGGCACTCCGGAACTGGAGGGCCCTCCTGTCACAACAAGGGCCAGCCCACCGAGCTCCTGCAGGACGCATCAGAGACTCTGGCTCCTTCTCGGAGCTCCTGCCCTTTCCCTAGTTGGGTGAGAACAGCGATGTTTGGCTGGCTCCTGGTGAATTCAGAGGCTACGAGCCTGGGCTCCATCCCCCTATGGCTGGGACGCACGGGGATGGGGCCAGGATCAGCCCCAGGGGTGGCTGGGATACCTGCTCTTAGCTGAAGTTGTCTGCAGAAGCTGATTAGATTAAGGAGGTGTCACAGCTTCTCACGGCCAGACCAGCAGCTGGTGCCTCATCTCCACATTCAAGGGACTCAGCCACTGAGTGAGCTCACAGCACTGCAGATGCCCCAGGACTGTCCCCTCTGAGGGGAGGGCTTGCTGATGAGGAGCAGAGTGTGGGAGTGCAGACCTTGAGGCAGAGCAGGTATTACTTTCCACCACCACGGAAATCCTTTAGGATTTCTCCTGTGTTGTAGCCTCCAGGGGGCAAGAACAATGCTCATCAATGTTCCAGAAGGCTCTGGAAGCATTCGGAGAAAAGAGGTGCACTTAGCCCTCCAGGAGGCCATATCCTCCACAGCCCATAAACTATAAAGTAACAGCAAGAGAGAGAAAGCTGTTCTGGCAGGAATTTGCTCAGCAAATTTTTCAGGCTGAGTAACCTTAATGGAGGCACCTACCTTCCCTGAACCCGAGCCCCTTATCTACAGATGCATTTATTAATCATCTCTCTGATAAGATATGGAAGCCCCGGCATGTGGTACGTGTGCAATACATGTTGTCACACCCTACCCACCCAACAAGACAAACGTCAACAAACGAGCCGTCACCAAGCACTGTGGTGCTCCCTTCTCGGTGGCCTTAGTCTCCTTAAAGACAAAGGCTTCACTGGCTCCCAGGGCGACTAGGAGGAATTGACTAGGTGGCCCCCAGGGCCGAAATGTCTTTGGGTTCAGGCTGCTGGGGAGAAAAAAACCACAAATCTTGCCATTCCTCTTAGGTCCTCATCTGCTGCTGATTGTCAAAAAATCCTTTGCCTTGCCTTACAGTCCCTTGGTCATGGATCAATGTCCCCCATCAGCTTTGTGGGAAGCCTTTAAAAGAAACAGCGTGTTTATAAATGGGAAGCCAGTTGGCTGGGGCAGGTGGTGGGGAGTTACCTTTCTTCTCCATCCGTTTCATGTCCATCAGCTTCTCCACGTTGTTGGGGTCATTCAGCCACAGCTGCATCCGGACGAAGGGCTCCCGTCCCTTCAGACTGAGCTTGTGCCAGGGTTTCGGGCGAGCGAGGAGATCAGAGACGGAGCCTTGAGTGAGCCCTAAGATGGTCTCTCCAAATAAGCGCTGACCTAGAGAGAAAACAGAACCGAGAGAGGTGTCATCACTGAGACCCAGGGTTCTGGAAGGACAAACACGTGTCAAGGCTAAAATCAGACATGGGGTTTAAAGGCCCAGAGTCTGGTCAGCTGGGTCCTGGCTGGGAGCAAGCACGTTGTAAAAGCATTTCTTTGCCCAGACTTCTGACAAACTCCACTTGACAGAATCAGTATTACTCTTGCATTCTGCTTCCACACAATGTTTCTCTCAAAAAAGCCTTTGGGCTTGGGATGAACTGAGGCCTGGCTAGTGCCTGCGGCGTTTATCAGAGGCGGTTAATCCCAAACCCGAGCTCAGGAGGTTAAGCAGCACACAGGCAGGAGACCTCTCTCGTACAACCTCAAACCGCAGGGCTGTCCGCACCGGCTCCTTTCACGATTAGCGAGGTTATCAGGTCTTGCTGAGAAAACAGACCACTTGACCCAGGGTCACAGCAGGAAAGAGAAGGAGAAAGAGCTCCTCGGCTCTGTTTTTCTGAAAAGCAGGCCATTTCCAATTCTGAAGTCTGTTCCCGCAGTCTAAGCTGCCTCTGCTGACTGGAGCTCAAAGTGGATCAAAACCCCTTCTTCGAGGCCTTTTCTCTGCGGCCGTGGTGGGCAGCCTGCTCCCCAGGCCGATCAGAGGGCATTTTGCTCTGGAGAGCACAGTGGCATTAAGTCTGCAACGTTTGTCAGAGGCTTAAAAAGAAAATTCCTCTTCTCTGAGAGCCATTCAGCTGCAGGTTAAGGGGGGCCACCACTTTTAAAGGTACAAATGAGAATCAGGCATCGCCTGAGCGACCTGATGGGAGAACTTAAACGAACAGGACTTATTAGGTGGCAGTGGAGGTTGGGATCAGAGAGGCCAGTGTCTGGTACCATAAAGCGTACAAAACATGACACCGGGGCAGAGAGCGGCTCTTCCCTGGGTAGTAGGGTGCCCGGGGATGGCCGGCTCACGTCCTCCGTCGGCCAGTGGGAAACACCACCACCTGTGCTCACGAGGTAGTTGTGAGAAAATGGCAGGGCACTGCCTTGGAAAAAGCGGGACTCCAAGTAAAAGTTGACTGCATGGAAAGCTTTGCACTTGAGAAATTAATCTTTTTGGTGTCAGTCATTTTAACTTAGAGATACATTTACTGATTTGTAAACTCATGGTTTCTCTGCTTTTTAGACTCTTACTTTAGCTTGCAACATCCCAAGTTGTTACCAGTTTTTTGATGTGACTGTTTTCAATAAATGTTACCTAATCCTAATGAATGAATCTCATTTCATTCCATGGAGCTTGCTGGGTTCAGGAAAGTGATATATATGAATGGCTAGTTACTATTTGCTTGGCCCACCCAGTTATATGGGGGGAAATCAAGAGATTCTTTTTGGAAATCATGTCTATTAGTTCCAGAGGTTTCACAGCGGTGGCTCTCAATCATTTGTGGGTCACAGGCTCATTTGAGAACCTGAAGAAGCTAGAGACCCTCGCCTGATAAAATCTGTGCACATACATTCTGCATATGGTTTCAAGAGATGGACCCACGAACACCCCGAGATCCCAGGTCAGAGGTTAAGAAGATGCCTGGGTCTTGACCAAGGGTCATCTTCGCTGCCTAACTCAGCTGTAATTTGGCCCCTCTGTGTCCATTACTCCACTGAGACCCCAGTAGGACAGGCAGCTTCTTTCCTGGAGAAGCTAAGACCAGTTTGAGCAACCATGAAGACTGCTTTGCATCGCTAAGCCCGGGGGACGCTGCTAGGGGGCTTTTCTCGAAGTTCCTTCACGAAGAGGAAGAAGTCATCTGTCTGAATGAAGGTTTTCACCCCTCAGGTCACTGACTCCTGCTTCACGGCATCTGAGAACAGAGCTCCAAGGCCAGTGGGGTTCTGCTGTGGCTGCACGTGAACAGCATCAGCTAAAACCCCAGCAGTGATGGAGACACGATGGGAAGACCAAGGATGAGATCTGAACGTTCACGATCTCACAACTGATCAGTGTTTGAAAATGAGAGTTTTCCTCAGCTGATTTTCATCGTTTACATGAAATGACACTCCCCATGCGGAAGTGGGCAGCAATAATGTACCAGGCCTGCTTCCCTGGACTTGTGACAAGACTGGAAGGTAAAGGATTAACTAAAGTCTAGAAATCCTCGCACATTTTAATACTTGCTGAGCACACGGGACTTCACAGCCATTGAAGGAAATCAACAGCTAAATTTTCATTTTTATGAATTAAATTAATTTTCACGATTAACTGAATTAAAAATGTTTTCTCTCCTGCTGTTTTGCATAAGCAGTGGGTAGAAGGCCTCAACCAGACAGGCTGGCCTGACCCTAGGCTGTTGGGTGACCACACAAACTTTACTGGAACCCATTTCACTGCTACTCCCTTCTTTTTTCTGTCCCCTGGGAAAAACAGAGAAGGCCCCTCCTGAAGGTAGTTGGCAAATTCTAGCCACTCTTTGGGGTTGTCTTAACATGCACCACGGAGAATGGTGCTCATTTAACTGACTTTTACACCAGAAACAAGAAGGATGGAAGTGATGGGGAGTAGCTGTTTCCATGCTCTGGATGCCTAGACCAGGGGAACCCCATCTGGTCCACACTTCACTGCAGGAGCACAATGGTTTAAAACGACAAAACACCCTAATATTTGCGAGGCAACCGGCCTAGGTTTGAAACCCAGGGGAGGGGTGGTGAGCTCAGTTCTCCAGGGGCTGCCTCACCCCGGTGGAGCCTGGGGAGTGGATCCGCTGCAGGAGACAGCAGGACAATAGCAAGAGAGACTGCGCTGCCAGGCAGGCTGCTGGGAACTGCTGCTACTCACAACCCCACGTCCGGCATCATTATTCAGGATTTACCGAGGAGGCTCCAAGAGCAGCTGGCTCAGTATCACAGCACATGAAGTAGGAGAGGTAGGATGTGAACCAGTCTGTCAGCCTCTTCCACTACGCCACCCAGATGCTGCTGATCCTCCCCAGCTCTGGCGCCCCCTAGGGATCTGGGGCTGTCCTGGGCATGTCCCAATCAGGGCAGTCTGAGTGGGTGGCCTGAGTGGGCTCCGGCCTGCAGGTGTACCTTCCAAGAGGTCCCGGCAAGGGCGCAGGGGCCGAGCAGGAGCGGGAGTGGGCTGGGATTGGCCTGTAGAACTCTAGCACCCTCATGAGCCCTTAGTGTTCACAACTGTAGGAGGTTCTGTGTTCATGCAGGTAGCCTGTAAGCGCTTAAACCCTTTCGCTGGCCTAGCCTGAGTGCCCCCCCCCACCTGTTCTTCCCCAGAACTCCCACAGGAAACAACCTGCCTCCTGACTTAGCAGACGGGGAGGGCACCTACCGAGGTTGTTGTCGGTCAGCACCTCCTTGACCCTCTTGGTTATGCCGTAGGTGTCCAGCTCTGGAGACATGGCTACCAGCTCTTGGATGCTGAGGGCCGAGTGTCCAGACAGCGGCAGTGGGGTGGTGGGCTGGGAGTCTGAGGCGGGCGGGTCGCTGGGTTCTGGTGGTTTGCCATCCTTACTGGTTTCGATGGGGGGACAGGGCTGCTGGACCAGTTCAGTCAAGCTCTTCACCGATTCGCTAGAGCTCATTGGAGATTCGGGTGCAGGGCTGCAGCTGGCAGAGGTCTTTGGAGTGCTTTCTGTAATTCAAGCACAAGGAAAACCGAGGCTCAAACAGCTGAGTTTCACCAGGCCCGTCTGTCTACCTTCCCTGTCTAGGAGATGCTCGTGGAACGACCGAACGAGGAGGATACAGTATAGCAGTCTGCGGATCTAAATGAACTGTTTCATAGTCTTTTGACTGAGAGTACCCTCTCATTTTCTGCATTAAAAAATAAAAAATAACAGCAACAGAAGGAAAACTAGGGGTTTAAATAAAAGGTTTCTGAAGGCTCATTAAAAGGGCATTCTGTTAAAAAATCTGTCATATTAATCATGTGCTATCATTGTCATGATTTCTTCTAATGGAGCCCCCTAATTCTGTAATTCAGAAGTACCCTGGCTAGATTATAATTTGCATACTTATTTTGTCCATAATTTCTAGAACAAAACAAATGGACGTATTATTTTCAATGAGGGCTGCCCACGATGTGTGGTCACGCAGGGATGAAGACCCCTTGGAGACCTAAGGCGTGGGCTGCTGGCCCCCTGCGGCCAGTGCTGACTCTGGGACCCCAGGCTGGTTCTCACTGTGACTCCCGGAGGGCCCCACAGCACCCAACCTGGAGGGAACCAACAGCACAGGAGCGCTCGCCCTGCTTTCCGTCAAACCCCAGGATGTGCTCCCGAAAGCCGAGCTCTTAGTTCTTCTCTGCCACGCTGGCACCAGCACCGGGAGAGAGGGGGTCAGTGTGGGCGGTCAGGCCCCCATGCGCCCCTTTCTTAAGAAGGGCCTCTGTTTCATTGCTGGTGGCCAGTGAGGAGTGCTGACCCATGCCCTTCTGGCCTCTCCATTAGCATCACCCGTAAAACCGACATCCATCCTAGTTTTGGGATGTCTGGAATAAAGGCTTTAGCCATTTCCTAATTTCCCGATACAGAGAAAGATGGTGTCCAAGAGGAAAATGCAAAGTGACTTGGCACTGCGGGCCTATCCACGAGGTACAATCTGCCCTTGGCACGGCGTCTTGGCGCGATCTCTCCCCACCCCCACTGAGAATGGCACGTGGTAAGACGCCACAGTGCCACGTGGTTGGAGCTGGGCCAGGCACTGTCACGTGGGCTCCACGGCCCCTGAGAGATGATAAGTCGCAGTGGGCAGGCCACACACTGAACATCAGCACACATGGGTGGCTCCCAAATACTTGCCACCTGACTAAACAAAATGTAACCCCGAGTAATAAATGAATTGCAACTGGCCATGTAACTGGAGTGTCCTTTCCCGGACAGATTCTATCCAGAATAGCAACCTATTCAGAACTCAAGAGGATGGAAAATGTATTCCAAATATAAGGGGTATTTTGTAGAAATATCTTGAAAGATAAAATCCCAAACAAGGGAAATGTAATTCAACCAATAAACCCGTTTATTATCCTAAACTGGTACAGAGTTCCACCATCACCACATAAACCTGCGTCCTCAACCTGGAAAATGAGGTTAAAAAAAAACACTGGTTTGTGAAAGATGTAAGAGACAGACGTAAACGGCAGAAATGGTCCATATAAATCTTTAAGGCAATCTGAATCCTACAAATCGGATTTCTTCTCTCTGCTCACCTCCAGGTCATCATACAACTGGATATAAAACCCAGCAAATGTTATTTTTGTATCTGAAGCAGCAAAGGAACTGTACTGTAAATTTGCCCTGATTCGCCCATGCGAGGGACCAATTTGGCAGGTCATCCATCTTGCTCACTGTGTACTGTCAAGGATGGTAGGAATTCCCCACATGATAAACAGATTTCTTCTCAGGTTTGTGTCCTTTAACCCATAGCAAGGTCAGAATCATGGCCGCCCGGCTGAGAAACTGCCTGGCGCTGCTGCCCCAGTGCGCTCCCTGTTTGGGGTGCCAGCTGGAGCAGAGCCCCCCAAATAACTCGAGAGGCGATACATTTCTTTCTTGCAGGCATTCTCAGTGAGCCACTCGCGTGGGTTTTTGCGATGAAGAACCCCTGAGAGAACTAAACAGAGGCACTTGCCACACGTTACTGGTGTCCCCCTGTGCTCCCGACCGTGGCTGCAGACAAAGGCCACGTGGGCCTCGAGATGTCCTGGGCGAGGGCTGCTGGGCCGGCTCGTACCTGTGCCTCCACTCTCTGAGCCTGTGTCTAAACTACAACAGACAACTCGAAGCTGAGTGCGCTTCCTGTGAGACAATTAGTCACTGACAGACACGTGTGCACAAGCTGTCACTGTGTCTCGGGTCACAGAAAGCAGAATGGGGCCCGTGTTTTTGGAAAGGCATGGACAGATGCAACAGCAAATGGACCTGTTGGAGAGACCACAAATCCACAGGCTCAGAACCTCACTCTGGAAAGAGTCATTCTTGAGAAGCTCTTTCCAGTGAGCGCCACAGCTCCAGTGGCAGGACCGGTGTGACAAAACCAAACCTTTTAAACAAGCTCCCACAGCCCCCTGGTGAGGCGGCTGGGCCCTGGGTGCAGGACGACGGGTGGTTGCCTGCATGACTCACCATCCTACAGGACAAGAAATGTGGTAACAGAGAAGAGGAAATGGGACTTGTTTTTTCTTTTTCAAAAATTAGCAAATGGAGCCTTCTAATCAGAATAACACATTTTTTTCCCCTTCTTCTTCCCCACAAAGCCCCCCAGTACATAGTTGTATATTCTAGTTGTGAGTGCCTCTGGTTGTGCTATGTGGGACGCCGTCTCAGCATGGCCTGACGAGCGGTACCATGTCCGCACCCAGGATCCGAACTGGCAAAACCCTGGACCGCCGAAGCGGAGCGTGCAAACGCAACCACTTGGCCATGGGGCCGGCTCCAAAACCACACTTTTCGAAAGAACAAGGCTTTACTCCACTCCCTACTTAAAAATAATTAAACAGGGCCGGCCTGGTGGTGCAGCGGTTAAGTGCACACGTCCTGCTTCAGTGGCCCGGGGTTCGTGGGTTTGGATCCCGGGTGCAGACATGACACCGCTTGGCAAGCCATGCTGTGGTAGGCGTCCCACATATAAAGTAGAGGAAGATGGGCACAGATGTTAGCTCAGGGCCAGTCTTCCTCAGCAAAAAGAGGAGGATTGGCAGCAGTTAGCTCAGGGCTAATCTTCCTCAAAAAAAAAAAAAAAAAAAAAAAGAAAACCCAACAAAACAAAGAAAAAAGGAGGAGTCCTGGGCTTGGCATTAAGATACTGAACTCAGGAGTGGGGACAACCTCTCCGGGCAGGCTGTGTGAACTTGAATTTGATTCTTTACTTCTTGGGCCATCTCGGCTTCAAAGGTCCCCGACATTCACCATAAATCTCATGACTTATTTTTATTTCTTCCACAGCACCTGGCACAAGACTGAGACGATGGCAGCAGACTCAATGGCTACGTCCAGTATGAGACCATTTAGATGACATTCTGGAAAAGGTAGAAAACTACAGGGACAGAAAACAGATCAGTGGTTGCCAGGGTGAGGTGCAGGAGTTGACTATAAAGGGGCATGTGGGAATTCTCGGGGGGGGGGGTGGACGATGGAATTATTCTTTATCTTGATTTGCCAAAACTCATGGAACTCAGCTATGAGAGAAGACTCAGTTTTACCATATATAAATTACACTTCAATATAAACTTGGGAAGGAAGTGGTGGCAGAAACAACGAATGGAGAGTATGTCATTCCATTCACCCTTTCTCTCATTCCCTCAGTCTGCTGAGTCAGGCCACTGGGTCGGTCAACGGGTCAGAGGGGGCCATGCCCTCCTGGGGCTCACACCTCGTAGGGAAGACAGCCACTAAACAGAAGTACCTACAAGACAATGAGTGTTCCGATGAGAGACAGATGGGAGCGCACAGCAGGGGCCTAGGGGGCAGAGAGACCTCCTGGACAAGTGACATTTCAGATGGACTTCAGGCATGAACAGGAAGTAGCCAGCTAAGTTGGGAGGATAGGAGTGGCGAGGAAGGGAGAAAGTGTTCCACACATCTCGTGGGTTTGAGGCATGGATGAAATTTGGCGTGGGAAGAACATGAGGCAGAGAGGCCTCCAGCGGCTGGGCTGTGTAGGGCCTTTGAATGGGCTGAGAAGTCTGTTTTACTCCTCGTGCAGGCGGGAGCCAGGGAAGGTCTATTCGAAGATGGGCCTACACCCTTCACCCCACAACGCTCCTCTTCCGGGCACTCCAGTGGGCACTCCAGTGGGCACTGAGGCCTTGCCTGAAGGAGCAAAGACCTGGAAACAGTGTGCATCTCCAGGAGACCGGGCCTCTACACTATGGCGTGTTCAGAAGCTAGGAACAGCAGCAAGGACGTCAAGGCTGGAGCCACATGTACCAGCATCCACAACATAATGGTGAGCCCACGAAACAAGGTGCAGGATGGAAGAGTCTGACGTTTGTCTATGGGCTGGACGCGGGCACATGCTGTGTGCCGGGTGTGGCTGTTAGAGCGGCAGTCAGGGCGCGGAGTCACGTGCAGGAGTGACAGAGAGCAAATTCAGGATGCACAGGACGCAAATTCAGCGTCGGCTTCCAGGAAGAGTGAGGTTAGGGATGGGTCTTCAACTCTATCTTTGATGTTTTCTTTCTTTTAAAAACATAGGATTGAATTATGATCAAAACTTAAGGTGAAAATCGGGTAATGGGAAGATGGGTGTTCACTGAGTTATTCTGTCATTTTCTTGATGTTTGAAATATCATAGACCTAACATCAAAAAGTAAGGAAGGAAATAAGTTCGCTGTGGCTTCAGCACAGAGAATGACCTTCTTAACAGCAAGGCTGGGGCCGGAGGTCCCGAGGAGGCTGTAGTGTCGGCGAGGCAGGACCCAGGGGGGCCTGGAAGAGGACGGGCAGAGTGCAGGGAGACGTTTCCAGGCTCCAGGGAGACATAGGAGACTGCCGCAACAGGACCTGCGGCTGAGTGCGGGCGGGGAGAGGGCCGCGGAGGAGGGGCGACAGGCGCGCTTCCCACACTGCGGCCTGGGCAGCTGGGTGTGGGGGGCCGTTCCGAGGGGACACTGCAGCAGGCACCCAGGGGTGGGGGAGGCGATATTGAGAAGCCCTGTCATCATTCGTCAGAGCAGCTGCTACTCAAGCTCACGTTTCCTGTGGGCCGCCGTGTGCCGGGCGCTGGGCTAAGGCACAGGAATGAACTACTTCAGTCCTCACAACGACTCCCAGCGTGAGCCCAGCACCTCCATCTTCCTCATCTGACAGAGATGAGACATCGTGCCCAGAGTCACACAGCTGGGAACCAGTCAGATGTTCCATATTCTTAGCAGCCCACCTGGGCAGCTGGGTGGTGCCCACCCCCTGCACCTGCGTGGCCGTCAGTGGTGGAGTGACCAGCCACCTTCCAGGACACGGCTCCGCTGCGCTCCACATATCAACGCGCATGAGCCTCAGAAACACAACTGTGAGCCACAAAAAGCCAGTCCACTCCTGGGATGAGGGAAGGGAACCCAGACGCATCTAGTACGGCATATGAATGCAGCAGTGTGCTGAGGGTGGGTCCACACGGCTTCATTCCATTCTCATAACAGGCCTGCGGCGGAAATACAAACCCCTCGCTCTAGGCGGGGAAACTGAGGCTCAGACAGGCATTGCAACCTGATCCAGGCCCCACGACTAGAGCAAGGATCTGAACCAGATCAGGAGTGGAAAGCCTACGTGTTTCTACCCATCCTCTGTCCGCCAGTCACCGCAGGCACGACAGCCTGCCTGCCTTCTCTTCATTCACTCGTTCCCTCACTCACTCCAAGATGTAAAGCACCTACTACTTTGTGTCACGCACTCTGCTAGGCATTGGAAATAAAAGAAATTAGACACAAACCTTGCTTTCAAGGAGTCTGCAGCCTGCAGGACTGGGACAAGTGAAAATGGGTCATTTGCATATTCTAAAAGCCCAGCTACACAGTCCATCTATCCAATGTTGACAGCAAAGTGAGGCATTACATTTAAAAAGTGATCCGCGTGGATTAAATTTTTTGCGAGGCTTCGAATCTTACATAAGAGTAGCTTGGTTAGTAAGACAGAGAGAACAGAGACAGTGACTCGGGGCCCTCTGAAACACACAAGGCATTCAGGAACTATAAAAGGATTATGAAAAATATTATATTCCAAAAACAGCAGGCAAACAACAGCTGCCTTCAGTTTTCAATAGAAGCCAATTGAAAATGCACACCCGCCATAATTTTCAGAGACAAATCTCTCTGCAGTTTATCCGATCCCCTGTTTTAATTTCCATACCCAGCCCTCTATCTGCAGTAATAATAACCCAAATTCCATTTAGTGTTCATTTGAGCAGTCAGGATAAAGTCATTTCTTATTATCTCCCCACTGTGTAAAAAACAGCTTGAAGGTAGGAAGTCAGCAAGCATTTTCACCAAAAAGTAATTATTGTAAGTGACATTTTTACTGCTGGCATGCCATAAGGCGAACTGTGCATTCAGAAGGACAAGTTGCTGAAACAAAATGACAGGGTACTCTGTGACATTCTGACAAGAACCCAAACATTATTTAACTGGCGGCTGGTCTGATGCACCACTTTTCATTACGTCCATAGTTTAGGCTTTGAGCCTGTGCCAAGCCAGGAAATTCCAAGCGACTACAGAGACAGACAGGGATGGAAAGATGGGAAAGAGGAGGGAAGAGATGGGGGAGGCGGGGAGGGTGGCCAGGGAGCAGCATGGTCAAGGCCTGGCACATTAGATGTGGGCGAGGAGGGGGGGAGTCAGAGAGAAGGGGAATCGGGAGTGCAGGAGAGGCAGCGAGGGGAAGATGGAGCCAGAGGGGACAGGAGCAAGGATGTACAGAAGGTTCTGGAGTGCCTGGTGCTGGTGTCCTCGGTCCAGCGGGAGCCCTGGTAGCCTAGAAGGACCCTGCCTTGCTTCAGGGCCTCTCCAGCTGACAGCTTCAAAAGCCGTGACAGGCTGCCCACCTGCCTGGAACCCTTCCCAGCCAAGTTCAGATGTAGAGATTGTGATGTGGACACTAAACTGAGCCGAAACATGGGGACCCGCTCGCCTGCTCACGCGGTCCATCTCCGGAGAGACCCGCCATGTGAGGTTGCTGGACGGTCCCATTAGAAATAATGAGCTGCTCGGCATCAAAGGTGAACAGCAACCTAAGTGGCCCGCCTGTACTTCAGTCATCAGTTGGCCAGGCGTGTGCCGCCCAGTAATGTGACATCTTCTTCCTGATGAGTTCCGACAGCTCCAAACCTTTTCCCAGTGGTGGCAGCGTTCACGGCCGCCTCGGGTCCTGACCCTGCCTCTGAGTCTAACGGCAGAGAATCTTGGCCCCTCTAGGACCACTGCCCTCTCTCCTGTCATGCAGCTATGTCAGACACAGGCAACAGAAAATGGGGCTTGTTTTCTTTTGAGTACGAGTGGTATTTTGCCTGATTAGCAGGGGCTTGAAACAAAATGCACGGACACTTCGAGAGAAGTCACAGAAGTCATCTAACAACACATGAAAGTGTATCAGAAGCACTGGAAGTGGCCACACTAGACAACGGCCTTATTTCTAAGGGCCTGGATCTGATGCCAGCGCCGACGGGGAGTGAGGGAGGGGCCTCGCTGCCGCAGGTCCCACTCCCCCACCCCGGGAAAGGTCCATTCCCAGATAGGCAGCTGCGTGAAGAACCAGGACACCCTCCCTACACCCAGGCCCTGTCTGCTGCCCTCCTTGCCGGCGGGGTTGGCAATACTCTTTGGCCCTCAGCCAACCTTGGCATCGCCTTAAATCACGGCAAACCTCAGCAAATCTACCGAATCACTCTTTTTTTCCATAGCAGAAGAGTAACCTGAGAAAGATTGGGGGTAGGGAGGAGGAGGGCATGTGGGGGATTGGTGGGAAGACCTGGGGAGGAGCCAGATGGGCTGGGTGGGACCCTCTGCTGTCCCAGGAAGGGCAGATGCCACCCTCTGCTGGCTCTAGTTTCTTCTGTAAAACAGAAGAGCCACGACTCTCTCACTCGCCCCAGCCCTGCCGGGACTGCAGTAGGCCAGGGTGAGATGAGATGACAGCCCTGACACACAGTAGGTCCTGGTGTGAGGTCCAGGATGAGATGACAGCCTGAGCACATAGTAGGTCCTGGTGTGTCTGTGACAATACATTTTTTTAAGTCTGCCTGAGGAACTGTCATAGTGACACAGAACCCAAAATACTTTAGTTATTAACAAAGAAAACTTTACTATAAAAGCAAGGTTTCTATTGAACTTGTTATTTATAGCTATCTTTCCCAACTTGACTTCCAAGCCACTTGAACAAAGGGCCTGTGCCTTCTATTCAATAAGGGAACCCTCTGAGTGCCAGCCGGACCTCATTAAGCAAGTCACTGTTGCAAAGACCCTGTGATGAGGGCTACGATGGGGACATTCAGGGAGCGGTGGGAGCTCACAGCACTGTGACATGGAAGCTGAGGCCGCGGGTAGGTGTAAGGGAGAGACTGGGGTGTGCCAAGGCCTGGGGTGGAGGAGGGAGGAAGACATGGAGGGGCCGGGTCACATGCTAAGATGGGGGACCTCAGCTCTAGCGAAGGGGCTGAATACGTGGATCTGGTGGGAGGTCTGGTAATGGAGGTCACACACCAAGGGAGGAGGCAGGACCGTCCTTGGCTGGTCACCTGGTGTGAAGCACAGGGTGCCAGAGATGCTTGCTGCTGAGACAGCTGTCGACTAGAGATCCACAGTGCTCGGCTCCTCCCATCTTGTGCCACCCAGCGCTTCCCTCACCCTTGGGACTGTTCTCCACTCTCCTCTTTTCTCCTCGAACTGGGAAGTACATCGGGGAACAGATCTCAGCAGTTCCGTGCTGACTGAGAGGCACCCGGGGTAAGCTGCCGAGGCAATATGGCCCTCAGCCGAGGCTCAGGCCTGAGCTGAGGGGAGCTCACGCGGGGGTGGGCACTGCAGGGGACTTGGGGTGTAAATCTGTCCCCACCCTAGTCTTCATCACTGTTCTTGTGTCTGTTTTATGAGCTCTTAAGGAAATGTGCATGTCCAAAGCCGAGTCTGGCAATATTAAAAATTAAAAACCCTCCTTAAATTACAATTTAACTTTGGCAGTGAGCTCAGCCTGGCGAGGCTGCAGAAGTGACGCTGGGCGATGCAGCTGGCCCTGCCTCAGGAGCTGGGCTCGCCCTCTTCCCGGCTTTGCCGCAGATCCATACTGATTTAGAAATAGTGCTTTCAAATTACCTTCAATAACCTTATTACCAACCCAGCTGTGTGTATGAACACTTATCAATGCGTCCCTGTGCATTAAGAGAAAATGTATGTCATACAAACAGTCTAAATATATATTACTGAGATGGGAAAAAACAAATCCTCTAGTTAAATTGCTTTGCTGTAATCAAAGATTAATCACTGTGTGAGCGCGTGTGTGTGTGCGCGCGTGCGTGCGTGTCCTCTCTTTTTCTCCAGGGCTTGTTTGTGGCTTTGGGCAAACCTGCCCAACCTTCACCAACAGTCACACTCTGGCAGGCAGCTCACAGCACCATTCCGATGGTGGAATTAATTTTCCCGGATTTCTAAGAGTTGGAGGAGCTAGGAGGTGGTTTTGAATGTTGTTTTTCTCCTGAGCCTTCTAGGCCTGCAGCTCAGAAACTCTCCTTTCCTCCAGGTACCTGGTGGACAGCAAGCTCTGAAGTGTCCATCTTTGCAGAGGCTGTAGCACCGTTTACCCCAAGAGCAGCCTGTCCCCTCTCAGTGACACTTCCAGGCAGCCCAGCGTGCAGGTAATGACGTCTGGGCTATGATGGAATGTTCCTTAGAGAATCCATGGCTGACTGCAGCCATCAAACACACTGGTGTGGTGGGCTGCTTCCGGCCTCCCAACCACACGCAGGTGAGTGAACGGATCTGGCCCGACACGGGTCCCGGGCTGTGCGGAGCAGGACCGAGTGACATTTTCGTTGAACGCGGTGGTATTCGAAAAGCTATTAAGGTACATTATTTTACACATCCTCCTAATCTCTCCATACTGCTTTACTTAATTTGTGATGAAATTGTTGAGAAAGGGTACTTAATGTAGGACAGTCAGTAAAAGTAATTTATCATCTTCCCGCTTCAGTGCGCACGTTATCAGCGAACTCATTTTCTGCATTCATCATGCAATCAGCCTATTATTTGCATATTAATCAGGCAGTGGACCATGAAAGAACTGCATCCCAGCCAAATGCTGCACTATCTCAGGAGAAACACGCAGTAATTATCATACATCAGTGTTATGATGTGGTAATTGATTATAACATCTTTCTGCTGCCCCTGGGGAGCCCCTCTGCTCACCCGGCTCCAGGCACGCTGGACAGATTGTTCTTTTCCTCCAAAAATCAGAGTTCCTGCTGCTGTTCTCTGAGTGCTATTTCTGTGGAGTATCGATCCTTTCTTCCGATTTCATGATGTATTTACCTAAACCGCATGAAACTAAACTGATCATAGCTTAGGGATGAGAGGGCCAGGCCGGGTGGCAGGCGCGTCCCTCTGGAGTCCGTTCTCTCTCCTCAGCCTTTCGGCTTCAGAGGCGCTGCTCTGGCTTCCGAGAAAGTTCCCTTATCAAATGAAATGCTACAACGTCAGTCCCTCCTTATTGCAAAGTTGGTACAAAGGCAGTTTGGCTGCTTTATTTAGGAGCCAAATGGCAGACTAATTTCGGCCCTCTCATAAAGGACAAACCCAACATCTGCCAATTCAGACTCAGGTTATATTTAGGCATCCAGTTCCAAAGGGAAGAACAAAACACAGAATCAAGATGAAGCGGGTGACCGAGCTCCTGGCTCATGCTGCTCCATCTGGGACCCCGCCCCACTCTGCATGGGGAGGCTGACTGGGGCCCAAGGGCTGGTCAGCATGGGGCCGGGCTCCCGGGCTGTCTCAGGGCCCTGGCAGGGAGAGAGCATGACAGCTGAAGGGCGAGGCTGTCCTTTAGGAAGGGAAAGGACCCCGGGCCACTGTGTGATTTTCCTTGGGCTCAGCCTGGAAGGGGTTTCAAAGCAGTGTGGACCTGCATCACAGGCCAGATGGTCACACACTTTCAGCTGGAAAACTTCATGAAGCTGGGTCTGACTCTCTTGCTGCTTTTCATTGGGTTCTCTCTCCTCCTCTGTCCAGCTCCTGGCTAAAGCGCATGGGATGCGTCTGATTTTCTATTAATTGTCTTGGGTCTGGTTTTTGACATTTGCCCATTTATAACGTGAACCCAGTTTTGTTCCTTGTTTTGAGTGTAGTTCCAGGGACCAACCCTTCCCCCATCTTGGGGGACCAAGTCCTCAGGGCTGGTGACGGCTCGCCTGGACCCAGGCCTCCTGTGGACACCTCCATGGCAGCCAGACCTCTGGTCTCAGGACCACGCGGGCTTCCTCCACTTCCTCCTTGGCCTCATCTCTGAGCCATGGTTTTCTCAGTCCATAAAACGGGGAAATCATTTCCACTTACTGACGAAGAATTAAAGGTATTTAGCACTGTGTGTGACACAAAAAAAGATGCAAATATATGTTTCCTCGTTTTATTCTTACCACTTGTAAAAAACTACCTGAGGATTTTTAGGCATTTAAGCTTCTTCATCCTTCTCTACAACCAAACCATTGAAAACGAAAGACCTTATTTGCTCCTATGACCTACTTTGCCTCTTGTGCGGAATGCCCAATGTACTGTAAATTTTGTTTTCCAAAGAAAATCTAAAGGGCAAAGAAAGGAGATGTGCCCAGAGGCCCGTGACTAGGGCCTGCTGGGCCTTCTCCAAAGAGGAGTCGGGGAGTGCCAGCAAGGAGGGTCCAGGCAAAGCCACCGAGAGAACCAAGCGAGAGGGGGCCGATAGTCACCCCCACATCCAGACAGGATGGCCTCGTTCCGCAGGAGTTTGCCCCAAATGGCCTGACCTGTGGTCTCGCTCGAAGCTCAGGATTTTGGGTCAACTTTAAGGAATGGCAGATGGACGGGCAACTTCCAAAGACAGACAGCATTTCAGAGAAGCCAAGGGTCAGGGAGCTGCACGCAGGTCCTCCTCTAGCCGACCCTTCGTGCCAGCCTCCACCCAGCGACGCTCCTACTTCAGTCTCCACCCAGGGAGTGAGCCGTGGGACTCCTTTTCTGTTTTAAAGGCAGAGGCCTGACATTTTGCGCGTGCACATATATTATTCCACTGCTCTCGCACACACACAAAAGACACTTAGCGGCAGACGTTGTACTGGCAGCAGCAGAAAAGTGAACATTCAAATAGCGCTTCCTCTGTGGCAGCCGCTGCTATGGACCCTTTTATATACGAACCTCCCAATGGTCCAGGAGACAGGCACTTCATTTTTCCTAGTTGACAGAAGAAACTGAGACACAGAGAGGTCAAGTCACTTGCCCAAGGCCACACAGTCACTCAGTGGCGCAGGTGGGACCAGCCCTAGGCAGCCTGCTCTGAGCGCGCTGTGTCACACTGCTGGTCACACCTGCTCAAGGCTGGTCACTGCAGGAGGGTTTCACGTTTTGCTGTTAAAATCAATCTAAATATCTCTGGCTAGTGACTGGTTACATAAACTCTGGTAAATTCAGATACAGGAAATCTCTGCAGCTGTGAAAAGAACAGGGCCTTCTTCGCGTCCTGGCCCAGGAGCGTCCCCATGGGGTCTTGCTGGTGAGGAAAGAAGACACAATGCCTTGAATCCAGTCTGTTCTGTTCTGTGGAACCAACACCTAGATGCGCGGAGTGTCTGCAGGAACCCGGGAACAGACCGCCTCTGGGAGGGCGACTGACCTTTCAGAGTGTGAGCCCTTTTCCAGCTTGCATTTTGTAACCGTGGTGCACTTATTAAAAACACTCCCTACAAATCATAATTAAAAAAAAAAGTCAAGTAAGTCTCTTACTCTGGGTGACTCTTAACTCCCTCCTCTTCTTTTCGGAGGTACGGTGACGGATCCCACTCAATGAACAGAGCCTTTGGGGGCTGCTTTCTGCCGGAGCAGCCTCTCCCAGGGAGCATGATGATGACATTTGCTGCTTTGACACCAAACATCGAGTGGGCTGTCACGCTCAGCACTGGCTGCCTGGGGATGCCTGTGCAGGGTCTGCAGGTGCAGCATGCTCTAGGGGAGGGCAGGCTGTGCTGGAGTTGTCGCACCCCTGCGTCACAGGAGTGACGGGCTCTCCACCCTCCCTCTGCCCTCCTGTGCTGATGCTTCTGTTTCAGGATCACGTGGCCAGGTCCCACCACGAGATGGCTAGGAGAGCTGAAAAGCAGCTCGTGCACATGGGGCATACAGGACGCGGTCCTGACAAGTCCCTTTTCAGGGGAACTTGTGAGAAGTGCATCTTCCTTTCCTGTAGCTTGCCGGCCGGCCGGGGCCCCCAGCTTACTGCCTCGTCCTCCTCGGAGGCCGCTCCTGGGCCTGCTGGGCCTCAGCCTGCCTCTCATCACTCTGGAAGCCTGAGCTGCAGCACAGTTGCAGCACCTTAGCCCAGTTGAGATGAGGTGAACAACTTTTGAAAGATGTTGATTAGAAATGAATTCACAGAGCAGTTTCCTAGACCATGTTGGCAGGCACGGGAGCCACCACACCCAGGAGCAAGAAGGGCTCTGCACCCAAGCCGAGGACGCTCCCTGCCTGCCCCAGACCCCCGCCCCCAGCTCCCATGTGCTCCACCCTCTGGGCTATCACCCTCACCACGTCTCTGCTTTCCTGGGAAGGTTTTCTGAGCCTCACAAGCACCTTGTGCAGCCCTAGACCATTTCTCCTTGAGCTGCCCAGCTTGCCTGGGCACATTCAGTGGCTGCTGATGCCATTTCAGTGTCCCAGGCAGGGCCTGCGCTCCGTGCACTGGAGGCCACACTGCTCGCCGAGCCTTGAGACCTTGCCTGCCCCCTTCCTCCACGGTCAAGCAGAGCAGCTCTCTCCTTGGTCACAACTCTGGCTCCGGGTGGGCCACCTGCTGAGTTCTTAGGGAGGGGTTTCTCCCAAAACTCCAAGCACCCTCTCCTGCCTCTGGCCTGTGATCTCTTCAAACTGGGATTGGTGACAACCCCGGTGGGCTGTGCCACCAAGCACGGGTCGAGGCCCACCTCCTTTCCAGAAGGAGCCACCCACAGGGGGACGGAGTGCTTTGGGGTGAGACGTGGTGGCTGAGCATCCTGGGGCCCGAGGCCGGCACAGGGACAGGCTGCTGAGGAACACCCCAGCCCTGTTCTGCCCGTTCACTTTTCTTCTTCTTACACAAGCCCTAAGGCAGCAACAGAATGCTACACAAAGACAAGACAAAATCCGTCCATCATCCACTTTCCCACTGTCAATTTAAAAGGAAAATAAAAGGTTTCCGAATTAGGGGCTCCTAATGTTTTCACCTTTTTCAAAGGTTCCACCTGTGCCACGTTCTTCCCCATCAATGTACCCTTTGTACCTGCAGAGCTCTCCACCTGGGATGTTCTCCTCCTGGACGCCTTTGCCCTTCATGGCCCAGCCCCATCCTTGGGGCTCCCTCCGTGCCAGCGGGCCTCCCCGCAGGCCGGCGCCCCCACGTACCGGCTGACACACAGCGGAAAGGCAGGCTGTGCCTGAATCCAGAAACCTGTCTTTTCTGACGTTAGAGTGGAGAATTCCTTTATTATGGCACTCTGGAGAAAATAAAAACGTCCTAATGCAGGTCACAACCAAGAAAGCAAGCAATGAATGGGGCACCTAGTCTCCTGGCCGTAGGATGCAGTGAGTGTGCATGGTGGAGCCCCAGGCCAAATGGTGAGCAGTGACCACCTGCTTAGAGAGGGGCACTGTCTAGTTCACACGTGGCTTTCCAGAATTCTCTTTTGTCTTTGACCTGTTGTCTATGGCTATGTAGAAACCAGTTATATACAAATCTTTTCACTATTCAAAAGAACTAGGGTTAGAATAATTCTTTTTGGAGAGAATCAATGGTTACTTTCACTAATTTATTTTGATGCAAGAGAAGGAAAAAAACACCAAAGCTAATCTAGCCTAAGGCATGGTATGAGGCGTTTCGCTGCTTTAGACAGTGCCGTGGAATTTTCTAGAGGTGCCACTAGCTCTTCCTATTCCTATTCACATGCATCTGAATGCCCCACCCTGACTACATCCTTAAAGTGGAGGAACTGACTGCTTACTCAAGGAAGCTGCACCAGAATCATCCTGCGGAGTTCAAAGTGCTAAAGCCCTGGACGTGTTCCTGGTCATCTTATGGGCACCAAGCAAGAGCCAGCAGGCATACTGAACAGGAACGCTGGCCTGTCCCCACCTGGCAGCTGTGGCCACAGATCTCTCCTGGCTGTGTCAGGCCATGGACAGCACACGTGACACCCATGGTCATCATGTCAGGGAGGTGGCACCCACGGACCACCCATGTGTGCGACTGCAGCAGTTGTCTTCTCAAGAGCAACTGATATCCTGTGGCCTGGGAACAGCGACACGGAGCCATGGAATTCCCCACAGGTGCAGAAGCCTTGGAACCGCAGTTCCTCGCTGCATGCTGGGAAAAAGCCTGGTACTTGACGATGACTCTGAGGAGACCAGGCCCTCCTTTTGCTCGTACAGCTTGCAGTGATCCATCTGACGCTGTGCGGGAGCTTATCAGCTACAGTAAGGAAATGCTCCCCTGTTAAATTTACGAAGCTGAGCTCCGGGCAGCTCTTTTCTACCAGTTCTCCGTATGTAATGACTAAGTCGCAGTCAGGCAAATCTGTTTCTTTCCCTTTTTCCTCCCCCTTTTACAGTTGTCTCTTGTCTCCTTCCTTCCCTTGGGGCAAAAAGATTAATCACACCAAGGAACTGTGAATACGAAATGAGCTTTAAGGAATGAAAAGGAAAAAAAAATCCAGTGGTCTACTAGATCCTATCTCTGTCCCTCCCTCCCTCCCCACCCAGGCACACAAGCACGTCTTCATTGTATCTCAAGGTTTCCTTCCCTTTAAAAAAGCTGCTAACTGGTCAGCCATGACTGCAGGCCACACGCAGAAAACAGGTCTTCTTCGGCCCCTCCCTTCTCCTTCCAGAAGCGCTTCCTCTGCTTCCCGGAAGCACTGCTATTGCTGAGCAGAGCGAGGGCAGCTGGGGATGCTCCTGGGACGGCAGACAGACAAAAGGGAGACTCCGAGAACCAATCCCAAAGGACTACCTGCAACCTGACCTTCACGCAGGTTTGCCTGGCAGATCACAGACGACCAGGGGCTGACGACCGCAGCCCCTCCCCGAGACACTGGGGACTCTGAAAGGAACCAACACAGAAACGTTGGTAGAAAAACCAGACTACCAGGAAATACATCAACAGGTAACCGATCTGAAGGTGTCTTTTAACCCTTCCCCTTTTTAAAAAGTTACTCGTATGATTGGCATGGAACCCTCTGCTCTTACTCTTCATCTTCAAGAAAAAGCACAGGTCACTAGCTGAAAAAGGCATCAACCTTCCTTAATGCCCAAGGCCATCCCGTCAACGCTCAGACCATCAAAGGAACATTCAGGAAGGGTGGTATCCACCAAGAGGAAAAAATGATGATGCAATCGAAACTTCAGTTTCTCTCTCCTTATCGTAAAGCTCATCAGCAAGTTTGACATACAAATCATTAAGGAAAATGGAGATGCTGAGGGCAACAGGGCCAGGCAGAAAGAGGCAGACAGGAATTCTTTAGTGAGGAAGATGGATTCCTGTGTCAGCAGTCTGCTGTTTCGATGAGTGAGGCCACTCCACCCCTGGCACCTTATGCCATGGTGACTAAGCACAGAGCCATGCGTAAGGCCCACACGATCTCTGCTATGAGCCTGTAGCTCTTCCTGAAGGGCTGTGGACACAAGACAAGACTTCCAAAGTCCGTCCACACCCGGGGGGCGAACCCGACCGGCCGGCCAGATCGGACACCTGGATTCTCAGACACTGCACTGAGTGTTTGTCAGCAACATTCAGGAACAAACCAACTCAGGGTGACAAGTACCTTCCTGTAGCCACCTGGTTCCACCACGCTGAGCTGCCCCGGGGAGGCGTCCTGGAGCCACCGCCAAGGACAGAGCGTCTTTCTGGGGCTGGGGCCGCTCGGAAGGGTTCCGTGGTAGCCGCGGTGAGAACAGGGAATCAGAATCCTGGGGAAATCTTAGGACCCGAGGCTTTATTCCTCTGCCTTTGGGACCTGAATGCTTCCTCAGAAACACTGATTTTTCAAGCTGTTAAGGAAGATTCTAGAGTCTCCTATAGTCATTCATCCCAATGATTTACCAACACTCATCATAAAGTACTTCTGTTTTTGAATCTAAATTCCACATCCTGAGAAGCACTGCTACCTTAATTTTCAGAAACACTCTTGAAAGGGTAACACTGATAGTAAAGAAATTTCAAACAAGGAAAACTGCCACCCACAATCTTGCCACCGTACGATAATCATTCTTTCCGTTTTGACAAGCACTTTCTAGTCTTCCCTGATCCAGAGAAACAATTTTGCTTAGCTAACATCATGATATCCAAAATTTTATCTTTTCCTAGAATCTAAGAAGTATTGTTCCATTTTTCTCCCTAGTCACCATAATTATTGTTTCTACTGACGGCTTCTCTCTTGCAGACCGACAACAGGTGCGATGGGTGGGGGATCTGCAATCCATCTCCTGTCTTGCTGGGATGACACGGGGAGAGGCCCACCGGCCCCTGTTCACAGAAACCACTGGAATTTCTGAGTGTTCACTGTTACCCAGAGGCTCAAGGCTCCTCCCTCCCTCCTCTAATCGGCAGCCTCCCCAAGAGTTTCACATCACTTTATAAAGTAATTTGATATCTTACAAACGTCATTGGCATTCCTCTTAGGAGCCATGTGTGTTTTTCCTTGGTTGGAAATGTGACAGTCGTACAAATGTTCCAGCACGGTGGCGATTACCTGCTATAATAAAAAGTAAAAAGCCATTCTTCAAAGATCTGTTCAGACAGAGAGAAAGTTTTGGCATCGACCGTAATCGACCTGGAACTGCAGGGGACTTCCTGTTTCATTTAGGACTGGGGGGTTTTGATCTCAGAAACCTTAGTCACATTCCGCCAGGTCCAGCCTCACTCCGATGGGGCGGCAAATGCCCTTGGAGAGTTTAAGGGGAAGCCAACTTTCCGTGAGAGCAAGAGGCGCGGCTAATTTTCCACGCAAACGTCCGCAGAACTAGCACAAACAACTACGTCCGTTATTTCCCCTAATGTATTCTGAAAGGGAGCCAGGGCTGCATAAGTTCTCCAGTACTTGCTAATTAAATTGGCCAACCCAGAAATGAAGTGAGAGGGAGTGCACCTGGTCCTCCTGCAGATGGACAACCACGCTGCTTAGATGTCCAGCCAAGAAAACCAACGGCCTGGGTAAGATACAGCCTTCCGTCCCCCATTTTGGCCAGAACCAAGACGAAACACCGAAAACACAAAAAACGCTCAACCAGGAAAGTAGCTGCAACCAGCACACTCTGGCTGCATCTGTGCGTGGGTTTGGGATCTTGAGGCGGTGGCGGCCGCTGCCGCCCAGCTGTTCCCTTCACGACACATGTTTTCCCTCATAAAACTTCCAGCAGGCTGGCAGGCTGCACGCTCCTCACTTAGCCTTGTTTGTGTTTTCAATGAATCAATGGGATATGCAGACTAATCAACATGTTTAGAAAAAGAAAGAAAGGAAAGCAGAGGAGCAGCTCACCACACTGGCAGCTCTTGGCAGCCCGGGGAGAGTGCAGGAAGGACATGGAAGGGGGTCCAGGAGCACAGGCCAGCCTGGCCGGTGACATCCAGGTGCCGTGAAGAGGAGAGGGCGTGGCTGAAAGGTGACCTCGGGCTCTCAGATGCCCACAGCAAGCAGCCAAGCTTCTCAGCCTGTACTCCTGGCCCTCCACCACCTGCTGCCAGGCTGGATTCCCAGCCGCAGTCCCCTTCTTCTGAGTGTCACTGGTTCCATATCCAGTTATACCCTGAACTGTGACCCCTCCTGCCTCCATTTCCTTCTTGCTCGAAGGTGGCCCTGAGGTTTTCCAGATGGACTCGACTTCCCCCTACCATGACCCCCCGGGAGAGCAATGCATGCCTGTTCCTTGTCCCCTCCTATTAGAACAGAGCCCCCCCACAGAATCTGTCCCTGACTCGGATCCCAGCCCCTAACACAGGGATTCACACCAAGAAACTGACGCTGCTGAAAGAACACGGTGAAGAGCAAGAAAACCCTGAGGAGCTGCTCACTTGGCTGGGGGTCTCTCGTTCTCCATGAGAAACTACGACCACGAGGATGCAGTTGGCCAACAGGATACTGTGTTTTCAGCTCCTCAGATCCAGAATGAGGGATCCTTTGCGTCTCCCCATTACAGACCAGAGGGCAGCAAGACAGAAAAGGCAGGGAAATATTGCATACAAAACAACGGAAATCGGCTAGTTACCTGAGCTCACGCAGCCCTGCTGCAGGGGGTCCTGTAGTGACGTCACAGAATGGAGGACTAAACGAGAGAAAGGGTCACAATTAAATGAGGAAAGAAAGCCATGGGCTTCAAGCTTCCCACTGCACTGAGCCCAGCAGAACGGGACAGTGTAAGGGGCCCAGAGGCCCAAGGCAGGGTCCCACGCCCGATGGGGAGGGCCAGATGGGGTGCCGCGCAGGCAGGCAGAGCTGTTGGTGGAAAGCCAGGACCTGGTCGCTGTCGCGCATGATGTCTTTCCCCCTCTGTGCCTTTGGCTGATTTTCTTTCCTGATTCTCTGATTTAGCTACTTGACTTTTACCTATATTTATGTATAAATAGCATTTTCTTAATTGGTAACTCATTTTCTGCTGCTTATAAAATTAGCCAGGCACAATCATTCTCTCTCCTAAAAACTACAGTCAGTCCCATGGCAACAGGTGGTGGAGGAAGGGGGGCGCTTCTGCCTCCGAGCAGTGGCCGAGGTTGAGAGTGAGGCCGGCTGCCTCCCGGCAGAGACGCCCCCGTTCCTTCCTGCAGGGCCCGTGGCCGCGCTGCCCTTACCTGGCCCTTGCTGCTGCCCTTGCACGGGCAGGACGCCCTGGCCCAGCTCGCCGTTCAGCCAGAGCTGCATCCGGATGAAGGGTTCGCGGCCTTTCTGGGTCAGCTTGCTCCACGGCTTCGGCCGGGACAGCATGTCGCTGACGCTGCCCTGGGACAGGCCCAGCACCTGGAGTGGCACCAAAGACATATGGCATCAGTGCCCAGGGTTAGCGAGAGGCTGCAAAACACTTTAGCGAAGCATACACAGGTGAGTGGTGGTGTGGCAGATGCACAGGGAGCGCTCCTGGGGCTGAGCACAGAACCACCACCAGGTGGATGGCCACGGCCTGGGGTGAGGGAATAAGCTTTTCAAGGTCACCCGTGGGCTGACACCCTGGCATGGGGAGCCATAGTTATAGTCACAGCTTTCAGCTCCCGGGAGAGGCGGGCTAGGAAGGGGCTCTGGCCCCAGGGTTTCCATCCTGCCAAGGCTGTAGGGTTGTCATCCTGACAGCCCGAGGAGGAGGCATCGAACCATTTTGCTCTTTGCCTAGTGGCGCTGGGAAAGGCTGAGCTGCTGGGGCCAGAGGCCTCTTTAGACGCAGGAGCAGTGGACGCCGGCGGGACGTGGGAAGCCAGTCTCCCTTGCTGGTGCTGGGCCGGGTTGGCATTTAAAGGTCTGCTCTCTCCGATCACATCCTGCTCTATGGTGGGGGCCCAGAGGTGAGCTGGTGGCGACGGGTGAGCCAGTCTGGGAGTAAAACTCATCGCAGACGATCGACAAGTGGCACGTACATACCCGAGCTTTCCTACGCTCCCATATGGCCATACATATGTATGGGCACAAACACCCCCCACAGGACACAGATGTAGCCCAGAGATATTCAGGGGCTGCATCCGATCTTCCTTTGAAAAGTTCTCGAGTTCCAGAATAAACTGCACTCATGGGCCAAACAAGTTCAAGGCTATTAAGTCTCTGCTAAATTTAAGGCATGAGCACAAATGTCTATTTAAATGTTCTCAAATGATATTTTTACAACACTGAACTAGAAATTTCAAAGGACTTTAAATTCCCATCCTCATTTCTATTCACCCCATCACCTTCTGCAAAATCAGGACAAAATAATGGTCAGGATTCAGAGCATGATATGTTGCAAACACTGAACTGAATGGGGGTGAGGGGTGGGTGCAGGGGAGGCCCCTGCTGACCCCACCACGTGCCCTCAGGGAGGCTGCCTCCTAGGGGAGCGGAGGTCTCGTCCTTATGCGCAGCATTCATTACTTAATCTAAAGCAATCCCGGGGTAAATTATCAGTGTATAGGCCTGGTAAATCCCCACTACCCAGAACCTCGGTTACCAGAAGTGCCAAGAACGGGAGGGTCTGGGAGCTGACCCCCAGGCCAGCGTACTTTCGTGAGCCAGGGAAGGACAGGTGGAAACAAGGGCTTCCAGGGCCCCGAGCAGTCCTGCCCGTGCCACCTCTAGCTGTGCCTTCCTGGGCAAGTCCCTTCACCTCTCTGGTGGGACACCACCAGGTGCCTTCTGAATTATGAGAAAGGTACAATTACACTTTATGTAGCTTTTCCTAGGAGCGCCTTCTGGCTCTACGCACGCTGGCCATCTCTCTGTGTGATCAGATCAGATCTTCTTCAGCCAAAACGGCCTGCAGAGGAGCCTCTGGGCTCCCCTTGGCAGTGGAGGCAGGACTTGAAGTCAGTCACCTGCCAGCTTGGGGCACGCAGTCAACTCCCCTGAACCTCGGGTTCCTTATCTGTCAAATGGTGACTTTACCATCCCCTCACAGTGTGACCTAGAGGGTCTAGCCTGGAACCTGGCTCCTAACGGGGACACAGCCAATGGAACATCCACTGGCCAGCCTCTTGGGAAGTTTGGGAGTGGACGACATATTATGCTCTTGGCTTAATTAAATGGATGACGGCCACATCCTTCAGACAGCTGCTTAGTCTTAAGAAATGAAAAGATGGGAAAATCCAAGCCCCCAAATCAACTCCTTACCTTCTCCCCAAAGATCCTCTGACAAATGCCATTCTTGGCCAGCTTCTCCTTCACCTGCCGGGTGAGCTCGATGGTGTCCACCTCCTGGTACATGTAGATCTCGTACTGCTCGGGGGTCAGTGGAGGGACCGAGGGCTTGGCGGGCTTGGACAGGGGCACGATCGGGGAGGAGGGCAGAGGGCTGTTCTGGGGCGTCTCGCTGCGGCTGGCTCCGGTCAGGCTCAGCTCGGAGCTCTGGGAGTACGGCGACTCGGCGCTGGGCCACTCTTTCCAGTACTCGGATGACGAGGGTCCCTGCAGCTGGCCGCGCTCGGCGCGTGTCTGGCTGCCGCCGCCCTTCTCTTTCCCACCACTGGCTTCCTCGCCCTTGGGTTCTTCGGGAGGAACCGCGCTCTTTCTCTCCGGCTGCACGGTGCTCCACCAGTGGTCCTTCCACACGCCGCTGCGGCCCAGCTCATTCTTCACGTGTCTCAGGACCCCCTGTGCCGGGTCGGCCGCTCCCTGGAGGTCCAGCCCGGGCGTGTCCTGGGCCTCCTTTTTGAGGGCCGGGGGGTTGGGCAGAGCAGAGGCGCTGGAATCGGGGGCTGCGGGGGGCTTCTTCAGGGAGATGGCTAGCGGAGAGTAACCGGACGATATGGGCGAGGTGGAGATTAACTTGGGGGTCAGGATGGCAATGTCGGTCTGGGACAGCGGCGTTTGTTTTAAGGCGGGGTCGAGAGCAGCCTGCTGGGCCTCCATTTCTCGGCGGGCTTGCTGCAGGATGGAGCGGATGGCGTCGTCGGAGCTCCCGCTGCTGGACGATGATGAAGGCTGGGCCGGCTCCGCTGCAGGGGCAAAGACAGAAGTGAAATGGTGGCGGGCCGCCCCTTCGGCGGGGAGCAAGCTTCTCTCACTCCACTCATCCTAACTGGACCCTCCACAGGATGCGGATGAGTGGGGCGAAGCACCCCGCTCTGTCCAGCAGTCCTTCCGCCAGTGAAACACGCGTGCATCTTGTCTAAGCAGTGATGAAGGACGAACACAATTGCTCGTGCCCTGATGGCCCTATTACTCACCAGCGGAAAGGGTGTATTGTCACTGAGTGTGAAAAGAGGGGGAAGTGTGCAAATACTCGGTGACGCACCATCCTGGACTTCCTGTCCCCGACGAATTTTAGACAACATTCGTGTGTGTTATACTCCCAAAATCTAGTGGTTTTGTCATAATTTAGAAACATAATTTCTGTTAACAGCTGCCACATGAGACCAGAGTCTCTAGTAATAAATTAAATGGCTGTGTTTGGGTTTGCTCAGATTCTTTTCTGGGTGGGTGGCTGTGGTGTGGCCACAACAGTGGGCCCCATGTTGAGGGGCACTGGGCAGGCCTTGGCCCAGGAGCCCAGGGCTGTGACTTCAGCATTTCCATCTGTAAACTTGGGATGGCTAACGGACCAGATCAAGGATTCTTAACTAGGGCAGTGCACCAGAATCACCAGCTGGGTCTGTTAAAATGCACATGCCCAGGCCCCAGCCCTGGAGTGGCTGAATGAGGAGCAGATGTGGGGCTGGGTCAGCAGCTGCATTTTTAACCAGCTCCTGGGTCCCTGCGGGGGCGGCCCTGGTTGAGAAGCGCTGAGCTGGGTGCTCCTCCGGCTCTGTAATGTGCCTTCAAGTCTGGGCGAGGAAATCATATAAGCTGGCTCTTCATCTGCTTTAGACGAGGCCGAAAAATGCTTCAAACAGTGACAACCTTTAACGCCTCTCGAGGACTTTATTTTACTGGTTAACAGAAGGCCCTCCCTTTTCCAACTCACATGACCCTCACAGCATCCTCGAGTGCGGGCAGCACCATCACCACTGTGCAGGAGGAGAAACTGTGGCTTGGGGAGGGGACAGGTGACCAGTGAAGCCACACCTTGAACTGGGCCCTTTTTCTTGGTGAGGAAGACTGGCCCTGAGCTAACATCTGTTGCCAATTTTCCTCCTTTTGCTTGAGGAAGACTGTTGCTGAGCTAACATCTATGCCAGTCTTCCTCTGTTTTATGTGGGATGCCACCACACCATGGCTTGATAAGAGGTGCTAGGTCTGTGCCCAGGATCCAAACTGGTGAACCGTGGGCTGCCAAAGTGGAGTGTGTGAACTTAACCGCTACACCACCAGGCCAGGCTGGCACCTTAAACTGGGCCTTTTGACTCTCAATTTGGGGGTTCCTTCTACCCTGCTGGGGGGCACCCTGCTAAGCTCTCTGGTTGTTCAGCCAGTCAGAAGAGGGGCTGGCCTAAACTTCAACTCTGGCCTTGAGAGCAAGAACGACACCAAACTGAAAGTTCCATTTGTTGTCAGGCTTGAGGTCCCACAAGGACAGTTCCTATGGCTCTGGGATCTCTACAAGAAGGCAGACAGCAGCAGAGGGCAGAGTCCTGGGACAAGAGGTAAGAGGTCACAGTTTCCATCCAGGGTCCACCAGGTAATGAGTTTGAGCAAATCATTCTAACTTTTTTCCTTTTTTGCTGAGGATGATTGGCCCTGAGCCAACACCTATTGCCAATCTTTCTGTTTTCACTTGAGGAAGATTGGCCCTGAGCTAACATCTGTGCCAGTCTTCCTCTATTTTGTATGTGGGACACCACCACAGCACGGGTTGATGAGTAGTACAGATTTGTGCCCAGGATCCAAACCTGTGAGCCTGGGCCACTGAAGTAGACCCTGTTGAACTCAATCACTATGCCACTGGGTTGGCCCCATCATTCTCACTTTAAGCCTGAATTTGATAATCAGGAATAAGAGGATGACAAAATCTATCTTTTGGATTGCTGTGAGGACCTAGCTTGAGCTGGATAAGGCAAGGGAAAATGCCCAGCCCACGCCTGGTCACCCACTGACTGAGCCATATGGGAATAGGGTGGCCTGGGGAGAGGACCCCATGACCAGGGGAGTGACCAGGTGGTGGCCTGTCCTCAGCTGCCACAGGAAGAGAACTCGCGCACTAGGTTCTTCTCCAGCAGAAGATCTGAGCTGCATCTGCCACATGGCAGCCTCTCATCAAATGCTAGAGGAAGGGTGGAACGTGGGAGTCCCCTCCTTGTAGACAGGCAGTGCTCAGGGAGCTCTGAAGACCCCTCCTCAGCCCGAGCGGCTCAGAGGTGGACGGCAGCCAGTGAAACCTCTGCCGCTTCCTGGCCACACGCATCCTAAAGCAGCTGTTCAGAATTTATTTTTCACCCCTTCTTTTTCAGTATTTTTTGGTCAAGTATAGATCAGAATAACCAAAGCCTGTATTGCCTTTCAAAAAGGCAATTTCAGGGGCTGGCCCGGTGGCACAGAGGTTAAGTTTGCATGCTTTGCGTCGGCGGCCCAGGGTTTGCTGGTTTGGATCCTGGGTGTGGACCTACACACCGCACGTCAAGCCATGCTGTGGCAGGCGTCCCATATATAAAGTGGAGGAAGATGGGCATGGATGTTAGCTCGGGGCCGATCTTTCTCAGCAAAAAGAGGAGGACTGGCAGCAGATGTCAGCTCAGGGCTAATCTTCCTTAAAAAAGAAAAGGGAATTTGATACAAACTCCTTGCTAATGTTCAGTCAGTGAGATTCTAGGGCCGAGGGACATTCTTGAGTCAATGCTTGGGAATGACGTTATGAAAAGAGTGCTAACTATCAGCAAAATCACACAGACCTGCTCCCCTCTGCACCTGCCCAAATGTGTGAACACAGACATTCTATTGTTTTAAAAAAAAGCGAATTACTGCTGAGTGAGCCCTCCTGACAATTAGGTTTGAGACAGTGGTCAGAGAGCGGGATCCCTACCGGCTTTCTGCACCTGCAGCTCCCGTTTGGCTTGTTCCAGGATGGACTTGATTGCTTCGTCGGACCCGGTCTCTGAGGCTCGGACCCGGGTGGTGATGTTACCTGCAGGGAGAGCCAGAGCAACGACATCAAACCCACACCTGGAACGAGAAGCAGTGCTGCACAAAGATGTCATTCTGATAAGGAGCTCCTGAGTGAGGCCGGTGACGGGGAGCAGGCAGGCGCGGCCTCCCATCTACCTGGACCTGCTGTGCGTGCAACCTCACAGCAGGTCCTGGGGCCCGGGCGGGAGGGGCTTCCTGTGGAGTCTGCCCTGTGTTAAACGTCATTCGGCCAGCGGGACCAGCTCTCCCGTCACCCAGGCTGCACCTCACCCGTGGGTTGGGACCAGGGAGAGCAAATCATTTAATCCAGTAGAAGAGATGAAGGATTAAAAGGCAACGCTTTTTCTGAGTTATTTAAAAAGTGACTCCAATGGCTGCTTTGGCTTGGGACGATGTTCAAGGTTCTTTATGTGTATTTGCGGCTGGTATCCCCAGAAAGGAGAAACGGGAGAGGAGGGCGAGGGGCCGAGGCTGATTATCTATCAATTATGGGATGTTCCAGGGGGAGAGGCTGAAAGCTTCACCTAAAATTTGCAGATCTATCATCACATACTGTCTTTTAAAAATTTATGAACGAGGAGAGAAGCCTGCAGAAATCCCTAAAGGACAAGAATTCAGTCTTTTGGTCACATGGTGATGCTTTGCGGAGTAGCCACATGTACAGATGCACTGAAGCTACTGCGGCCCGGGGGCTGGCCCCAGTTCTTTCTGGAAGCCGTCCACATATTTCAATTTTTCGCTCCCTTACTAAACAGGAACCGCCATACCAAACCATTGGAAAACAAGCAGACCGCCAGGAGGAAGCCCCGAGAAAGATGCAACTCCAAGGAGCGCAGAGGGGGCTGGCCCGCTGGGGCCCATGGGAGAACCGATCACATCTGGGATCGGTCCACACCATGGCACCTTTAATGAAGTTTAGAGCTAAAAAGATGTACAAGGAAGCAGCAGGACGTCACGGGACTCAGTCACCTGATTTTTCTCAGAGCGACAATTGTTATCCTCTCTCTTGCTTCTGAGAAAACGGGGGAAGCGGAATTGAATCTGAAGGGGCTGGGATTGTCCTGGGGACTCACTCTTAGGGCACTGCCCTCTCCTCCCCTCCTCTGCGCGTGCTCGGTAGAGCAAGGCAGCTCAGGAGGAAGGGACCGTGCGAACTTGAACCCGTGCTTTGTTTTATACTTACTAGCTCTGTTTTTCCATCAGGTTCCAGGCCAGAATCACACTGTACAGTTTTAACCCAAATACACAGCTAGGGACATGCTGCTTCCTATGCGACTGACTGCAAAGAGAACCCCTGCCTGCGACATACCTTCAGACCCATTTCTTCGTTTCGGTACTTCCTGAAATAGTCTGTGCAGGCTCTGGCCTGGATTCTCTGTTGAAAAACAAGTGTGGTAAGAACAAAACAATCAGGGGATGGTGGTGTTGACGATATGGGCTGCGTGACATGAAATCTGAGCCGCCTGTCCCTACACAAAGGGCTCAGGGCTTCCTGTGCGACTCGGGAGCTACTAGACGCTTCTGAGAGGCCCTTCCTTGGCTGACCGGCCTGCAGAGGCCGTGGCTCTGCTGCCGAAGGAGATCAGACAGACCCGAGGAGTGGCCTCCAACACCAACGCCACGAGGGGCAAAGGGATGGGGCACTGCCAACAAGTGAATCGCCCCCCAGCCCCGGAATGAAGCTCACATTAATCATCCAAGGACAGTCCGTTTCAGGGGACATTGCCACGAAGAGCTCCATGAGCTCTGTGCACATTGACGCTGTTGGGAACGCCTCCCTTCTCTGTCTGTTTTGAGTCTAAATTTCAGGGTGTTTCAAAGGTATCTGATAAGACTACCTCTCTCTGTGTTGATGGAGCGAATGGCCCCATCCTTAAAGAGGGAAGGGATTCTTTCCATTAGGGACGAGACTGACTTTTTGTCTTTTTATGGAGGGTGGGCGGGGAGGGTGTTTTAATGAACTTTCATGCATTTCACTAAGGCAGGCGTGTTTTGCTGGAGACTCGAACTGAACCACTAACAGAACATCATTGCTGGGAGGGAGCCGGCCGCGGGACACACTCCACCCTGTGCGGTGGGAGGGGGAGATGACACTCTCCCCAGGGAACCAGCTCTGTGTGAGGACCGACCTGCTGCTGCTGCTCTAGGGCGAGATGGTACCCAGGGCTCCTCCCCACACGAGATCAGCACCCACTGGACACTAGACGCGTTGGGACGCTGTATGTAATGTAATCGCCTCCGATTCAGTACCGAATTTGAATGGCAATACTGGGTTTACCATGCAAGGTGCGGAGCAAGTTTCAGAGGCCAGATCTCCCCACTCTACAGCTTTAACTCATGCCTGTTGACCCCTGAACTCTGGAAATGGTAGAACTGAAGCGAATTTTACCTGACGTGATGCACAAATGTTTCATCACACACACACACGCACAGCGCGCGCGCACGCACACTCCGTGACGGGCTCACACGCTGGCGCCCACCCGCAAGTCTCTCACCTCTCTGTCTGCCTTGGATGCTGCGGAGGGCCAAGATATTCTGCTCGTCTGACAGGAACTGCTTCATCTTGTGAAAGGGCTCCTTGCCGCGAACAGTCAGTTTGTTCCATGGCTTGGGCCGGGCCAGAATCTCGCTCACGGACCCTTGCGACAGTCCCAAGACATAATGTCCGAAAATGCGCTGTCCGATATTGTGCTTGATCAATTGCTCTTTCACCTGCCGGGCGATTTCTGCAGTGTCTATCTCCTCGCCCTCGGAGACGCTCCCAGCACTTTCTGACTGGCTGGGAGACGGGGCCATGCCATTTACATCTGGGCTTTGCTGTAATGGACTTTGGGAAGATATGGAGTTTGTGCTGTATGGACCTGTTGGAAAAATCATGCTTGTGCTTCCTGCTTCCTGCACGGCCTTGGAGTAGAAGGACTGCATTAGCTGTCGTTGGAGGAGGGAGTTTAGTGCAAATTTTCCCGTAGAAGCCAGGGGTAGGCTGGGGCTTGCCAGGGATGAGCTGAAAAAGTCTTGAGTTAACCCCGCTGGTGAGAACTGGTGTGTACCATTAGTATTGGAAGCCTGCTCCCCCGTGTTGCGGGGCAACTGAGGAGGAGGGGAGGCCGGCAAAGGTCCAGGACGCCGACTCTCAGGCTGGTCTTTCCCTTTTCTCCTGGCTGACCCTACAAGGAAGGGCAAACATAATGCATTATGGGGGATTCAAAAGGGAAAAAAAACCAAGACCAAAATGCAAAGGTTGCCCCACAAAAGGGAAAAAAAGTGCAGATTTCACAAGGGCCAATGAGGTGTGTTGGTTTGTTTTTCAATTGAATTTTTAAGTCAGCCAAACGAGGCCCCCCGAAACAAGCAACATGCATTTCATGTTTGCGCCTTTCTTGTACGTTGCAGCCTGGAGAGTCCCCTTGACATACGTTCAAACTCCTACAGTGACAAGGAGCCGGTACCACACACAGTAAAGAGTCGGCAGGGCGCAGGCCTCTAGCCTTTGAGCTACGACCAGAAGAGCCCCACCTGAGGAGCAGCAAACACCGACATTTTGGGACCAACGGATTCGCTCACACCACTTGCTCTGAGGCGAAGGCACGGCACCGAGTCCACGCGATCGAAGGCACGCACATGTTAAGAATGAATTATCATCGGAGCCCGAGACACTTTAAACGGTTTACCAGCTGCCAAAACCAGAAGCAGTCAGTGACGCCACCATTTTGGGATGAGCAAAGAAAGGCTAAGGATGGGGGATGCGTTCCCAAGGAAAACCTGACAAAGGAAGAAAAGCTCCGCTGAGCCCAGAAGGGCAGCGCCCCCGGAGACACCACAAGAGAGGCCGCACGACTAGGAAAAGCTCAGAAAAGCCAACGTCCTCTGTGTCCCTCCTGGGATCACCTGCCACACAGGCCTAACCGACCTCCGCAGACGCCCTGCGGCCACACGTCTCAGCATCCGCGGCTTTAAGGGGGGAGAGGGGAGGAGCAGTGAGGAGGACGGAGGAGGAGACCAAACGCTCATTAGTCAAGGTTCTCATCAGCCGGTGATGTTCCTTCCCGTCATGCATCAGCCCAGACTCACGGGCCACCATCCGCTTCCTCGGCCCCTGGAAGGGACTAAGTGCGGCCCGCGAGACCCTGTCAACCTACCGCTCAGGTCGCTGTTGGAGATGCGCAGCGCGGCGTTCTCGGACTGCAGCGAGCGGTTCTTCTCCAGCAGCAGCACCTCCAGGGGCTTGGATGCATCCTAGATGGGGCAGAGCAGGGCTCACTGCGGGCCGGCCGCCCTCCCACCCCGGGGATACCAGGGCCCGCCACCCCTGCTCTCTGACGGCTTTCCACCCACGCTGACTCTCTCACGTTACAGAAGTCTGATTTCCTCTGAGGATGCTCAACACGCACGTGGAAAACATTCAAGTTCCTTTCCAAAAGAACTCACTTCATTTGAAGTAATTTTTCTCCTTCTAGACTTGCAAAGCTTCTCGACAACCGACTACTCTATTCTATCCCCCAATTCGAGCAGGCCGAGCCACAAACCCATCAGAAAGTCACTGTAAATGTAACCCTTTTTTGGTGCCAGCCAGAGTCAGCTGCCTTCTGGACATCAGGAGCAGGATTCCATCTGATGACTTAAATTTTAATTGGCTACCAGGTTACCAGGTGCCACTGTCACCTTGCCCCTGTTCCTTCTCCAGGTGAGGCAGTGAATAAGAAAAGTTCCTAAGCCAGCCCCTTTGGGCCGACCCTTAACACAATCTGAATTGTTTTCATCCATGTTCTGAGTACCTGCCCAAGTTAACCCTCAATTTCACTTGAATTGAGTTACCAGTTTGGAAAACTAACTTTTCTCTTCTTGCCTCTTTTTTTGGTAAGGAAGATTTGCCCTGAACTAACATCCATTGCCAATCTTCCTCTTTTTTTGGCTTGAGGAAGATTTGCCCTGAGCTAACATCTGTGCTAATCCTCCTCCATCTTGTATGTGGGACACCTGCACAGCATGGCTGATGAGTGCAGTAGGTCTGTGCCCAGGATCTGAACCCGGGCTGCCAAAGCAGAGCGCATGCAACTTTAACCACTCAGCCACAGGGCCCGCCCTTTGCCTCTTTTTAATTAACAATAATTTGCTTTAACTTGGCTAAAGTTTCTTGAGGAATGACTCGTCAGCTCTAGGAGAGAGGGCTCATAGAAATATCGAGATGGCGAAGCTGGCCCAGGGACGAACAGTGACGGCCCTCATGCTGATGGTGACACAGACTCAAAGCAAAGTGAGACCGTGTACCTGTGTGCCAGCTCCCTCGGACGGTGCGAACTCCATGGATTTCAGAATGCTGTGAAGAGCAAGCAGAGTGGTTATTTCCTTTCCTGTCTCTGATAAGACCACGCTAGTGAGCATTAACATCACAATTTCCTGCTCTCCAGGAACTGAGGCACTGACAACTTGAACAACTTCCCTGGCAGCATTATCATCTGATAGTGTCTCTAGAATAACTATTCCACTAGCAGTTGGCCAGCAAAAGTTTCTTGCCCAGCATGTAAATCATTCCATATGGAATCACACCAGGTCTGTTCAGAGTATAATTTTAAAGTTTAACACAGACATAACATTGTTGCAAGTGGAATGTATTTGTGAAGCTTAGAGGGAATGAAAAAGTTGTAGCAAGGAAGCCAGAGATAGGAGCCTCATCACCTCCCTGGCCACGGCCCCACACGCTCAGGTGGCAGCTGACACCTGCGGACCAGGGGAACTCAGCAGAGCGAGGTCCCACAACCAGAGGGCTGCAGCCCCGGGCTGGGGGAGGAGGGCCATAGCGAGCCGTGGGAGAGCACGAGGGCTCCTCCTTTGTTCTCCTTATCGCTGAAACCACTCCCGTCTCCGGCCTGTTTCAACAAGTCTGAGCACGGAGTGAGTTCAGGTGCCCAGAACTGCGGTTTCCAGCATTCCTTTCGTGTGGACATTCTTTTCTTTTTGTGAGTCCAACAAGAGCAAAGGACCAGTGAGTCCTAGTGGCCCCGAGTGGCTGGGGTGCTCCCGCCACACACGAGGAGGGAAGGGGAGCATGACAGCAGGTACCTGCGCGCTCTCAGCATCCTCACCACTATGACCTCAGCCTCAGCCCCCTCTAAGCTCCATAGAAGTGTCACTCAGAGACCACAGGGTATAAAAATGCCCAGGGCCCCGGGAGCTCGCTCTCTGCCTCAGCCACCACGAGGTTCAGTAAGGAGCTAGCCACTCCCAGTTTCTCTGTGGTTCTATCCTCGTTGTGCCCCCGTCCAGTAAACTAACAAAATGGGAACAAATAGGAGCTCCCGGAGGTAGAGCATGTCATTTTATTTTACAGTGAGCTCCTGGAAATACTAAAAGAACTCGGCACCATGGCGTCAGGCAGGAGAGAAGCAGCACGCAGTCTGGAACTTGTCCTTTCTTAGTGACTGTCACGTGTTTACAGCTATATTCTGGTCTGAGATCTTCTTTAGGATTATGTAAGAAAAGACTAAGTGAGTCTATGCGCTCACGCTAAAAACACCAGTGTCTCTTCACTTATTCATCAGATATTTCCTGACGACCTATCATGTGCCAGGCACCGTGGAGAACCAGAACCACGCTGCCACTCACCCTCACGAACTCTACAGGCTATTACAGGAGAAGAGCAACTCCAGCCAGCCAGGGAAAGAGGAAAGCTGGGGGCCTAGGCAGGAGAGACCTCACAGGGCTGTAGATGGGCTGTCTCATGAGGAGTTAGTGCTGAGAGGGGCCTCGAAGGAGCAGGATGCTTTATGGGCCACAGAGCGGGGTGGGGACCTTGGGGCAGGGATGGGATGGGAACGGGGTGTGAGTCCAAGGAGGCACTTGGATCACTAGCAAGTGGGAGGCCAGGGACACATTTTATCAGAAAAGCCACCCACTGGGGCTTTTAGGCACTACATTGCAGTGGGGGCCGTGGTGTGCAGATGCAGCAGAAAGCGCCTGTTCTGGGAGGAGGGCGAGGGCCAGTGAGAAGCTGGGCAGGTGGGCGGATGGGAGGGAACAGACGAGGGACGTGTTGCAGGCCCGAGTCAAGAAGCCGTGGTTCCCGGGGAACAGAGACGAGCTCAGAGGAGGTGTGGGACTGGCCTCGGCCTGGGATGGGAGGGGGCCTGGGAGAAGGCCTCACGTTTCTTGGATTCGACACTAGGAGCAGGTGTACATTTTTTTCACTTGAGGGGATCAGGAGAGGGAGAGGAAGGAGAGACTGGCACAGGAGGCAGGTATAGCAGGTCAACCAGGCAAAAATACCCACCCCTATGTAGGAAACCAGGGGAGTAGAGAGCTTGAGGAGGCTGGACCCGCCAAGAGGCTCAGGGACCGTCCAGGAAGGAGCCGTCTGTGGCCGGGGGAGGGGTGAGATGCTCGAGAGAGACCGTGGTGGGCACAGGACTGAGGGGAGCCACCTAAGCAGGGGCTGGAGGAGGTCAGCACCAAGCGATGGCTACTGGATGTGGTGAGAAGGCGGAAGAGGCCTTCCGATGGGCTGTTTCAGCAAACCCCAGGGGATGGAATTACGAACAGAGATGGCATGGCGAGTGGGTGTAGGCTTTTAAAAGGAGAAATTAAAATGTCAGTAAGAGAGAAAGGAGCTGAGGGAACAGCAGGGAGGAGCGGGAAGGAAGGGACCCAGGGTACAGGCGAAGGGATTGGCCTGGAGAGACAGGGAGCAGAAGACCAGAGGAGTGACTGCCAGGCAAAGGGGGAAGCTGAGGGACATCTGTCTCCTCCCTAGGGCAGAGCACCAGGGCATCTGCCGAGGGTACAGAACGGCCCCCAGGGAAGCACAGAGCAGGCAACCAGTGGAGGACAGAACACGGCCTGCGGGGCCCGGTCCACACACAGCGGTGACGTCCTCTGCAGTGTTTCATAACCTGGCTGTGCAGGCGGGGAAGCCCAGGGTGAGACCCTGCAAGGCATGGCAGGAGGACAAGGGGGGCCTGTGTACTGTGGGAGGCTGCCTGGGAGCTCCAGGTAGGGGAGGAGGTTTGTGAGCTCAGAGAGCGCTGGACTTGGGGACAGGTAGGGACCAGGGTCCAGGAGCTCCAGGAGCGCCAAGGGCAGGCGGGGGAAGGAGCGTGAGGTGGGAGGGCCAGGCTGGGTGGTGGGGCCTGAGGAAGGAACTTCTCAGCTGGAGAATGTAAGCATGAGCACTGAAGTCACGAGAAGCCTTCAGCGGCCGCCTCTCGGATGGGGAACTGGAAGCTGGGAGAAGAAGGTCCCGGAATCCAGGTGGCCGAGAAGGTTAAGGCCACATGCACTCTTTCGACTGGAAAATGTTTCGACGCCCTGCTCTGCTTCTGTTTGGAGAAGTTACAGCCGAAAAGTAAGCTCAGGTTTTCTGATTTCTATCATGGCAATGTCTCCCTTGACTCCGTGCATAGTGGCACATTTCAAATGCACAGACTTCTATAAAAAGTCCAAAGAATTTGGGCACAGGCCTGTGTGCAAACACCCACAGCATTGGGTAGCCCAGGACAAGGCCGAGTGGCGGAGTGTCCGCTGCGGCCAAGCGCAAGGACCCGTGGCTGCCCCCTCACTGGCATGCTGTTTCCTCAGCAAATGTCCCCAACGAGCCCTGGCTGGGAGTAGCCGAGCAGGCACTGCCACACTTACTTGAGTTCTTTCTTCACCTCCTCATAGTCAGCCTGTCCTTTGAGTTTTTCTTCCAGTTGCTGCAAACAGAGAGGAATTTCATTAGTGGCCACGTGTGAACTAGGTCAGTGCACTTTGCTGTAGACTGAATGTCTGTGTCCCCCAAATTCATCCGCTGGTCCTAACCCCCAGTGTGACGCATCAGGAGCTGGGGCCCTCGGGGGGAGATTAGGCCCACAGGGTGCAGCCCTCCTGAGTGGGGTCAGTGCCTTACAAAAGCGGCCCAGGGAGAGAGCTCCCTTGTCCACTCCGCCCGAGGACACAGTGAGAAGAGGGTCATGTGTGACCCAGAAAGCAGGCCCTTGCCAGACACCAAATTTGCCACGGCCTTGATCTCGGACTTCCAGCCTCCAGAACTGTGAGAAATAAATGTCTGTTGTTTATAAGTCACCAGGTCTATGACATTCTGTTATGACAGGACTAAGATAGACTTCACTGACTACATTCCCTGTAAAGCATCCAGCCGTCCCCAAGGGAACGCAAACACGTACAATGAAAGGTGACAACGTGTGGTGTCACCTGTTGTCCTTCACTCTTCTGGTCTGTTGTGAGCGTGTGTGAGTGGGCACAGGCACGAATGTCCACGCACACACACACGCTCGGCAACATAAGGTGGGAACATAAAACTTAAAGCAGACAGAAAAAGCTTTACAGAAGTGGAAAACAGAACGAGGAAAAAAAGGCCATTTTGTATGAAATATCATGAAATGGCAAACAGAATGAAGAGAAACTCTCCTAGCGTTTTAAAAGCAGCATGTGGCTTTTCACAAAATCTGTTAGGCTAGCTGACGCATGCAGTTGGTTGTCAACACCTTTGGTGGGACCCTGCTAACAAGAGATACGAGCCCCTTTGCTGCTGAGGTCGGCATTGGGGAAAAAAGCATTTGCACTTTCGGATCCCCCAGATGGCGGCATTTTAGGAGTGGAGGCCCGTCCGCTGGCGGTGAGTGGTTTCCCCAGCAGATGGTCATCTGAGTTCTGTGGGGGCGGGGACGGACCGTCCCGGGGCGCCCTGGCCAGCAGGCCACAGCAGGGCACAGCTGGCTCGTTGAGAGGGTGGGTGAGGGGCTCTGGCCCACACAGCCCTGCAGGGCCCAGGGGAGCACCAGCCACTTCTCAGGCGTTATGATGCTTTGACGTGCTCCTTTCAAGTCTGTGAGCCCCCAGGCACTTATGTGGCTGTTTCTGCCCACAGCTCTGCAGGGCTCTCTGGCCAGGAAGGGTCTTTGGTGTAGGGTGGTCAGCAGAGGGTGCTTCCCTCCACAAAGGTGCTCTGGACTAGTTTGCTGTTGGTCACCCCCAGAGGCAGAAATGAGGCAGTGGAACATAAGACACAAAGACCCGGCCAGGTGGTGTGAGGGGGGGTTTGATCCCGACGATTTAGCCTGTTTCCAAGCCAGGGGTGAACAAATTCCAGCGCCTGGATCAACGCACCTTCCTACCTACAGGGCTTCTGGTTGTCTTGACCAGCCATGACTATGATCACAGTTGAAAGCTGACTGAGAACACTCTTGAGTTTGGGGAGATGCCCATCTGGCCATCAGCCTGAACCCCAGCCCGCCTCTGTCTCGAGAATTCAGGTGTGCTGTAAACAAGACTTACTTAAACCATCTTTTCCTCTTGCCTTTGCTGGCAGTTTTGTGTGTGTGTATTTTCCATCGTGTAAAATTGCTCGCCCTAGTTCCTTTTGAAGACCTCGTGCCAACTTTCTATATTATAATGGTTTCTCATCACAACCAAACAGGGGGTAGCATGCGCTCATTTTCCGAAAAAAGAATCTCGGAAGGTGCTCGTCAAGAAGTGACTATTTCATTCTCTGCCTCCAGTCGAATAGCACGAGGCGCTAACGTGCCAGTGGTCCCTAACCAAAGATTATCCGGGGCTGCCGGGATGCAAAGCACCTTGCAGACAGAGGAAATCACTGACGCTGGACACAGAACACACATAAAACTTGGTCGTGTTCAGAGAACAGGAGACAGCAAGCTGGAGGGCAGCAAGGGGGCGTACACAGCACTTAGAACCCGGCATGGCACGGCCCCGGACTCAGCTCTGTCCCTTACATGCTGGGCGCCTCTGGGCACGTTAATACCCTTCTCATCTGTAAAATGGGAATTGCAATTATCTTTGAGGCTTGAGCTAAGGGGCACAGGGCCACGACCCGGGGCAGATGCTGGCACTGCAGGACCTTCGATGGGGGACCAGTATCACTGCCGAGACCCAGTCTGGTCTGCCTTGGGGCACAGCTGCAGGGCCTCTCTGCAGACCTGTGATCAGCCCCGATCAGGTTCTAAGACTGGAGTCTGTGTAACGTGGTTGGATGTGACAGTTTTCACAGAGAACTAAACAGCTTCCACTGGAACTTCGGCCACCTCCCTGGGGGCAGCTTAATGATAAAGAACCTGAGACCACTCTGTCAACCTTGGACCACGTTTCTGTCTTGCTGGGTGGACAACTGCACAGAGGCCTGGCAGGGGCTGCCGCAAGCACCCTTAGCCTGTCTTCTCCGAGGTCTCCATGGAGTACCACGCCTCAGAACCATGCTCACCTGGCAGGTGAGGTACAGGAAACACACAGCATGGGGCGGAAGACTGGCCTCTGATCCTGAAAATGCCCATCATGGAAAAAGGACCAACCATCCTCTGAACAGATTCTCTGAATGGAAACTTGCTGCTGGGAACCTGGGAAGTCTACTCACAGAGACTCCAGATCTGGAAGAGCAGTGGGCGCTCTGGCCCGTCATTTCTCTGGACAGACTCTCCTCTCGGATTCTGCTAACGCTCATAGGGTGGGCCTTGGTCCTACATCCCATACGCTATCTTATTTAACTAATTACCACAACACTTCTTCAGAGCATCTATCGATCTGTCCCAAGGAAGAAAAAAAGTCACTGAGTTCTAAAGGAGACCCTGTCAGAGCGGAGGCCACGCTGCCCACCTGCAGCCATTCCTGGAGGAAGTGAGGCGCTGGTGTGCCGAGGCCCAGCCAGGAGTTCGCTGCCCGCCTGGGCGCCACAGTCCCAGACAGGCTGGGGCTGGGCTCTGCCTCTCTAAGCCTTGGTGTCCTCATCTGTAAAATGGGGATAATGGCACCCGCATACAGCGCTTTGTGACGATTAAATGAAATACCGTATACTGAATGTTTAGCCTGGTGCCGGCACAGCACTCTGTAAGGGTGGTTATTATTGTTACTGTAGTTATTATTACTTATCCCTGGTGGCTGGTACTGCGTATGACGAAATTGTTTCTGAAGAGACTCTGCTTCTGAAGCCGGGGCTCCACTTACGAAGTTCTCCACACCCCGCTGTCACCTCCTAATGTCCCCGCTGCTCTGGGAAAACATAGGCGCCCGGAGCAGCTCTGGCTCTCAAACGCTGATGGCCGCCAAGGCAGCCTGCCCCAGTGCCGTGAAGGCCGGGTCTGGGGACTGAGTGATCTTCCTGAAAAGCTCCTGTGCAAGGAACACGCACGGGCTTTAGCCAGAGGCGAGAGCAGGTCAAGGGCCAGAGACGGGCTGGCTGAGTGTAATCTTGGGAGACGGCCTGGGCCTGCTGGGCCTCATGCTTCTCACCGGGAAACTGGGGAGAGTTAAGAACAAGTGTTTTCAGAGCACGGGGCTGAGGAGACGTAGGATGAGCAGGTGCAGGCTGCCACGCCCCCTCGAACATGCTCGTTCTATGATACAGAGCACACAGTGTAACGAGACAGGACACCTACACGGTTCCGGGAACTTGGTAGGAGCTCATCAACTGTGTCTTCAATTGCTGGAAGAATTATCTATATGAAGTTCTTAAAATCCTGGCTAAGACTCAAATAATAAAGAAATTGAATTAAAAATGCAAAGTATTTTGGCATGTAGCGAGTTAGGCACTGCATTTATAAAAGATATGTGTCTTAGTCACATTACAACATAGGACAGTCTGTGCTCTAGGGCCACCTCTGGCACGGGAGACTCCTGCAAAGACCTCGGGAGAGGCCTCGTCTCCGGGTCTCACAGCCAGCGGTTACGGCAGCAAGCCCTCCGTGCCACAGCAGACTGTGGGTCAGAGAGGCGGCCACGCTGCAGCCTGCAGATGGCTCCGTCCCCCTCCTCCAGGATGACCAGAGCCCGGCTCTCTGAAGATGGACAGCTCAGGCCAGGGGAGTCAGGGTGGGACCCCTTGTCCTCATGGGGGCTCCTGGGCTGAGGGCCACCAGTCATGACTGAGTAAGTGTGACTGGGCTCCCTGGGTCAGGGCAGGCGTCTGAGGCACAGGCTCCAGGTTGACGCTGCATCTCTGGGGTCCGGGCCAGGCAGCATGCACCTCTTTTCCACCTGAACGAGCACCCTCCCTGGTCTCCATGGTTCCTGGGTGAGAGGCAGCAGTTACGGAAATTTAGGATCTCCTGATGTTGGGCACGGGGGAGAAGCCCAGGGACGTCCAGGTGGGTGCTGTGCATGCACTACAGGAATGTTGAGGAGGCGAGGAAGAGGAAATCCCCCAGGCCAGATGGGGTGGGTGGGGAGAATGGCGGTTCTGGCAGAGGGCTTGCTGCAGGCGGAAGACGTGTGGCTCTGGACAGAAGAGGAGGAGCCCTGTACGGCCACCCTGCCACAGGCCACCTCCAACTTCCACGAGCTGGGGTTCAGGTGTGCCCCAGGCACAGGGTGGATGGGAGCCAACTCCTCCTCATGGAACGCTGCCATCCCAGACCAGGAGGGCCTGGCTCCATTCCTAGGCTACCTGGACATCGCAGGTCATGGTCAGCCAAGTGTGCAGCAAGCTGGGAACTGTCTGCAGCTGAGATTTCTGGACTGACTCAGCAAGTGAGTAGGGGCACAGGTGTCTTTGCAAGAGGACCCATCGTAGATTCCCACAAAGAATTAGCTCCTGAGCATTTCCAGTAACACCTGCCGGTTTACAGCAATTTTATAGGGACCCACTCATGACCTCCAGCTCCCACCTCAACCCCAATACGGACCTCGAGGCTCCTAGCACGGAGTCCTTCGGTTTGTCCAAGACTGCCTCCAGTGTGATCTTTCCCTGGGGGCCTCTCCACCACTGCCGGGTAGATCCATCTCTTTCCTGTGCCCTTGCCCTCCTCAAATCTGTGCTCACAGTGCCTTCAAGACCCAGCCAGGACAAGGCTCCGGGAGGCTCGGACTCCCAGCTCTCTATCGGGATGTCTGACATTAGAACTCGCTCGTGCCACAGGCTGGACACTCGGGGCCTGGCCTCTCCTAACCTCGGCATGGTGAGTCAAATAAGATGTTGACATTAGAGCTGCACACACTGAGACGTCGATGAGATGCTTGTTAAAACTTGATGGAGGGCAGCGTTGGCGCAGAGTAAACATACTGCCGGCTGAGGGCACTTCCGACACCAAAGAGGCAGGGTTCAGAATTAAAGGTGCTGATGAGTCCAGAGAAGCGGTGATCAGTCTATTTCCTGTCCCAGCCCTGAGGGACACAGCGTGCTCCACAGGACCTGGGGAACCTCAGGAGGAGGGGTGAAGGTACAAGGGTGGGAGGCACGGGCAGTTTGGGGAAGTCTCCCAGGTGATCTTAGTATCTGCCCACTCACCCAGAGGGAAGCACTGCTCTTTAAAGCATAACTTTAGAAAATACAATTCTCCCTATGGGAGGCCAGCAATTTTCTGCTAGCCTCTCTTATAAATATCCATTTTAAACTGAAGCCATTGGTAGCATTATTTTCTGTGCTATAGTGAGCGTGGTGAGGTGACTGCCTAATTACACTGTCTCTGTATTCAAGGTTCCAACAGAAGACCACAGAGTAAGACTTATCAAAAACAGCAGCCCTGTCACGGCAGTTGGGTTATTTCATTAATTAGGGATCCAGAATTATCCTACAAGTGGCATTGTGCTTGAGCGCTTGTCAGATTAGGCAGGCAGAAACATCTCCCACTTCTGAGCCTGTGTCGATGTCTATTTAAAGGTTAGGGATGCACCACTGTATGTGGACAGTGATGCGTTTATGGTGAACTTGGCTTGAAAAAGTGGACCACGGGGAGAGAAAGGCTGGTGAACAAGCCACTGTCAATTTCTCCTCACAGAATTACAAATCGGATGTCTCAGGGAAGGGAAGAAATATTAGTTGTAGAGATGGGAGTTTCAAGGTGCTAGAGAAAGCAAACCAATTGGTCCCTAAATACATTCCACTACAGAGTGGGCCACCAGAGTGCACTGGTAAGAACACCCCACTGAGCTTGAGACCGAAGATACCACCCATTACGCCTTCTGCCCTTGAGAGACCAACCCCTCACCCCTGCCCCATCAGTGCCTGTCATCAAGCGCGTCAGCATTTGTCAAAGACCACTGTCAAATGTTCTCGGCAAAACCACCCACAATGCCCAGATGCCGAGAGATGGGCCGGAAGCTGCAGCATCCTCAAACAGAGATCCTGGTTCAAGTCCCACACAGTGCGTCCCAGAGTCCCCCCAAGCTGGACGATACGGTCCAAGAAGGAAAAGACTGGGGGACCGGGGGAGAGAGGACGTGGGAGAGGGAGGCAGAGAGGAAGGCCCCTCGGGAGGCCCAGGGGCAGCCCCCTGCTCCTTCCGAGCAGCCAGCACCTCGGGGGCAGAGACCCTGTCACAAAAGCATCAGGTTGCCAATGTGACAGGTCTCATTCATAAAATATTTTCCTAATAATTGCATCGCTGCTTAGTTTAGATTTGAGACTATAAATTATACACATTAGGAAAAAAAAAGCCCTGGGAAGGTATCTCATTCAATTAACCTTACTCCTTTGGGCGAGGGAGAAGACGCCCTCGTTTGGGGAAGGCTAATGTCTTTTGTGTGCGAGTTCGATATTCAGGAGATCTTCACTCCCGGCGACAAGAGGTTGAGATAATTAAAATCAGAGAAGTCTTGTTACTAGAGGATATGTTTTGATTGTTAGATCAGATTAAGATAAGGCGCAGTAACTTTGGAAGAACTATTGCCGAATTGTTCCATTAACTGCGCAGTGTTAAAGGATTCCCCCAAGACGTGGACAAAGAACATTAATTTGTGCAACTGCGTTTCATTTTTTGTGAAGGCAAACATTAAAACCTTAACAGATTTAGAAGAAATTGCTCTATAATAAAAAATGTAAGGTCTGCAACCTCCCTCTCATGTAGTCAGATGCTGAACGCATTTGAGTGGGACCCTTTAACTGTAACAAAGGATAAAAAGGCAAATTATCAGATAATAACACCACTGGTAGGGTCAAAAACAGCTATAAAGTGAGAAAATTAGATTTAATCTAGAAATAAAAAACGAGTCCTGGTACCCACTGGGCAGGCTGATGAGAGATTAGGAGACTGGAGAAATAAACGCCATGGTTGGTGACAAATGTGATGAGGTCTCAACCATCTCCCCCAAGCTGGCAGGATGGTCTCCTTAGAGGGGCGCGGGCCCCCGGTGAATGGAGTCCACCATCCACCCCAGAGAGGCAAAGGAGAAATGGCGGGGAGAGCGCAGCAAGGCCCGGCCAGCGAGCCGCCAGAGAACAGACTTGCCGGAAACTTTGTTCTGGGTCAGAAACACAGTCATGCATTGAGAAGAAAAAGCTCTATTGTTTTTTCATTAAAATGGGCCCAGTTAGGATTCTAGGATTACTTTACATAAGAAAAAGTTGTCCTGACATTTTTACAACTAACTTTGATCGGCTTTATTGAGTATAGAGTCATCCACCCATCGGTCACTCATTCACTCACGCACTCCACAAACGGACGCTGAGCAGGGGCAGGAGGAGGCCCGAGCGGCCATGACTCGGGCCAAGGAGAGAGGGCAGAGCCGGGCAAGTCTGCCCTAGAAGCTGGGGCCCCGCGCCCTCGCGGATCCTGTCTCTTCCTTGTCAAACAAGATACCTCTGAGGAACCCCTTCTGGCTCTGACAGACCATGAATCTAGGGTCCCAGGACAATCTTCAAATCACACTAACTTCAACAAATTAGAAATACCTTAAATAAAGTATAATTTGTATAAAAAAAAAAAAGTAATAAAAAATTTGGGGTACAAATTTATGAGAAACTCCAAAAGGAACCAGCTTTTGGTGAGGCCGCCTATCACTCTGCCTGAGAGGTAAGAGATGGTGCGGGCTCCCCGTGCAGAGAGCTACACCTCGCTCCAGGCCGCTGGTGTGCGGCACACGCCTGAGGGTCAGAGACGTCCCTGCAGCCTGGCGCACCGCCCACGAGGCTTGGACAGACAAGCCCTCAGCGCATCTCTCGGCACTCCTCTCGGAGTTGCAGAGCACTGGGTCCTCCTGCTGGCGGCTCGCCCCAAAATCCAGGCAAGGCCAGCGGAGTCAGACTACAGGTACGTCTCTGGAGACAGCCTGTGAGCTGGGCGACCGCTGCAGCCCACACGAGAAGCACATGGACTCTCCAGGCTGAGCCCTGAGGATGGCGGTTTCTACAAGTGCCCCATGCGAGGGACGGCCAATCAGGAGGAAAGTGCCGCCCGGGCAGGAGCTGGGAGAGGGGTTCAAGCCACCCCCCGGCCTTGGGCTCCGGGACTCTAGCTCCCTCACAGAGGTTCCAGGCTGCCATGTGCTGTCGGTTTCAGACCTGCTGCCCTCCAGGAAGAGCTCTGAGGGAGCTCACACAGCAGGTCCCCGCGTGACACGGCCAGGGCCCCTCAGGCCTCCTTGTACTGCTCTCACTGGAGGGAGAACCTTGGTTGACGGCTGGAGCTCAGGCTGAGAAAAACCCAAGCAGTCACTTTGGCTTTAAGAGAGAAAGAGTTTTAACCATTACCTTTGCAGACCACAAAAATGAGATACACTTATGCAATGGCCAAGGCGGGATAAATAAGACAACTTCCAAGATGATGCCTCCTGCATGGTCACTACACCCAGCACGTGTCCCCGACGCCGGGGCGGGAGGGACCCACCGAAGAGCTCAGGGTCTTGGTGGGGAACCAGAAGCACAGTGCCAGCCGACCCTGGCTCCCTCCAGGGCTGTGTGCGGAGGAAGGCAGAGGGGGTGTGCCTGCGTCCAGCCCTCCCCCGTCCGCAGGCCCCCGGGCGCCCTTACTTTGAGGGTGCTGTTCTTGGCACTCAGCTGCTGCTCGAGCTGGGAGATCTGGCTGGCCGAGTTCTCGCGCAGCTTGGAGAGGCTGGCCTGGAGTCGCTGCACGTCCTCCACCAGCTGGGCAATCTCCCGCTCTTTGGCGGCCAACTCAACTTCCAGGCTGGAGCGGGTCAGCACCTCTATGGCCTGCTCCTGCGGAGGAGAGAGGAATGACAAACTGCACCAGCCTCGGGCTGGGCTCAGGGTTATCTGTGCTGGTGACGGAGGCAAAAGCACGCAGAAGGAAGGATGCGGACGCTGAGCCCCCGGAGACATGACCTCCGGCCTCTGCCTGGCCTGGACGCTGACCACCCTCCCCACACCGCCTTCCAATCTGTACGGTGGGCTGCCACCTGGGTAAGTCCATTCAACCAGCATTTACTGAGCACCCACATGTACCAGCCACGCAGCAGTGAACAGAAGGACGGAGTCCCATCTCCCCAAGGCTCCCAGCCAGTGGGATGGGGCACGGTGGGTGAGACGCATTAAACACCTTCATTAGTAGGATAAAGTGTGTAGGATGGTAGTAAGTGCCACAGAAAAACCGAGGCAGGGAGGGGCCGTGGGGTCAGACTCAGGAGACACAGTCAGGGTTTTTAATAAGATGGTCAGGAAAAGCCTTATTGGGATAGTGACATCTGAGCGAAGATCTGAAGGTGACAGAAAGGGCCCTGCTGATGGCTGGGGGACGAGGGCTCAGGCCAGGGCAACGCCAGACAGGAAGGCTCTGAAGAGGGCGCCTGGAATGTTCTGAAGCATTCGGATTTTCTAACATAAGGTGGGATTCAATGTCCTTTTGATTCGTGACTAAGTTATCTCGACACGGAGATGTTATTTGACAAGTTGATTCTTAGCGTCAGCATTTAAAAAAAAAGTTAAAAGATGTGGAAGATGCATATTTGGGGTTCCTTTGCTTTAGGAACTCTAATGATAATTGATGTTTTAAAAAAGTTACTCCCCACTCCCCCTAATTTACTCACTTTGGAAAATATGCAAAACAAGGAAAAGGTATTAGAAAAAAAGTCAAATCTCTAATTCTACTTCCCAAGGACTAAGGTAGTACTTTTTTCAAGTTTTAAAAGTAATTATGGCTCCTGAACAATTCTAGAAACTTTTCTGCCAGGTGGATGCTCTTCTGGGCATGACCAGTGGGGACGGGGAGGACAGGACTGCAGGGGTCTCTGCGACAGCAGAGGCCTGGGGGCAGCGCGCACCCCTGCATAGAATGGCATCTCCTCGCTGCCAGCCCCCCGAAGTGCCCCGCTTCCCGGCTCCATCTTGCCTGTACTGGGGCGGGGAGGGTGCCAGCCACAGCCCCAGTTGGCAGGCACAGCCGTGCCATTCCACACACGATGTGCTTGTCACTGGGTTTTAACCCTGGGGACAGCCAGTCACCCTGGGAAATAATTTTTCACATCTCCCTCCTGGGAAATTAAGGCCTTTGCCATTTAAGAATGTAAAGTTTTGTTGCACAAAGAAGTGACTCCTTTCTGCTTCTTTGATTTGTACAGTATTGTAGAATAATTCTTCATTTCTCCTGACTTCTGGCAGATCTGCTCTTGGCCCCAGGGCCCAGTGAGCATCTTCCCACTGGCTTATTTAAAGGGCACATGCTGTCCAGACCAGTTCTGTTCAGAGTGTGCTCCATGGCCTGGTGCCAACTCACAAACTGTTGCCGGTACACAGTGAGACAAGTACAGAAGTTAAGAGTAAGTGTTTAGAGATTTTTATAGCAATTCAACATTGCTGTGACGTTTTTTATTGTTTTTTATAAAACTATCAGTCTGCAACAGATTAGAAATTTAAAAAAATCAAAACAAAACTGTCCTTCACCACAGAGTTTGGGAAGCACCACCCTTGGTCCCAACACCAGCTGGGACCAAGGTCAAGAGCCACGGTGACCGAAGGCAAGTCCTCCCAGCGGTGCCAGGGAAGAACGAGAAGCATGTGGAGCTGGGTCCTGAGGAGGGAGGGAAGGACACAGCAGGAAAGGGCCATGGATCTCGTCGGAAGGAAGGGACTCCATTTCGGGGTGGGGACAACACAGATGGGCACAGAGGTTGGAAGGGGCAGGGAGCAGGGCATGACAAAGGAGTGACCGATGCTGAGAGGTCAGGTGGAAAAGGAGCGGGCAACGCTGGCGCCTGGCGGTGAGCACTTGGAAGGGCGGCCAGAGGTGCCTGGACTTGCGGTGGCAGGCCTGGGGCAGCGGGAAGGGGACACCATGGAGGTGCTGTCCTGGAGGCTGGTCTCACGGTGGGTACAGACGGAGCCACTTATCTAATTTAACTCATTTCATCAGTCTTCCCACCTGAGGGATGCCAGCCATAAAAACTGTTAAAAGTGCTCTTAGGGAAAGAGAATAAAACCAGCCAAAAAATGATCTGGGGTTTTAAACGGGAAGTGCGAGTTACTGTACCCGGGGCCAGTAGTTCAAATAACACATCTAAAAACAACAGCTCTCGGTGCTGAGATGATGGGGCTGGGGTTGGGCAGTCCCAGAGGGCATCTGCTTGACTCCTGGGGCCCAGTCTGGCCTGGTCACAGGCTGACCGGGTGACATTGGCTCATCAGCCTCCTCTCAGGGACCTGGGCCACTGAGTCCTCATTCAGAACATAGCAAAAATCACTCGTGTCTGGCATAAACTAGATGAGGTGGGAAATACACCCCAAAGCAGCAAGAGCTTGGCAATAAACTAAAAAAGATCATCCTGCTCTAAGTCCAAACATGGCTCCCACCCAGCTCAAACACGAGGCGAAGACACGACAGGAAACTAATGGAGAAACGGACAAGGGCCGGGAAATGATCAAGGGGCGGCAGGTGGAGGGCAAGGCCTACGCAAGGGGCATGGAGCGGGGCCTCTCGGTCCATGGGCACAAGCTAGAGAAGAAACCGTACAACAGGGTGGACAGGGCGAACGTGCTGAGAGGAGGGCCACCATGGAAACTGCAGGCAGTGGGCGCCAGGCAGTTCAGACGCTGAACTGTCTCACATGGGATCATCGGCGAGAAGTATGGCACATGAGGAGGCGTACATGATTCAGAGGGCCAGGACCCCTGACCCCTCCGTGTCCGTTCAGGACTCAACTCAAATCCTTGGGGGCTCTCGGAAATAAATGGGTCCTGAGCCGTACCCTGGAGACTGGTTCAGGAGGCCTGGGGGAAGGCCCAGGGACGCCCTGGTGATTCCGATGGGCTCAGGGGCAGGACCCTGGCTCCGACAAGCCTCTAAGGGAAGGAACAGAAACCGACTTCCCCAAGTCTGACCAGAGGCCCCTGTGGGCGCCAGAACGAGGTCCTGGAGTCTGACCCAGCAGGGACATTCCCATGGCTCCAGGCTCCCAAGACCTCTGAGGGCGTCCCACATTCCTCAGGGGTGCAGCGTCTTAGGGGTGGGGCTGACGGCTCAGGAGCCAGGAGAGGCCATGTGGGAATGCTTCCGTACGCCTAAAGACACGGTAAGAAACTGGAGGGGTCTTTTTCCAAAGGGAAAATGAAGGTGAAATCAGAAGTTACTGCTGCCGCCTCCCATTCAGTTTCGTCCCTTTGAACGAGCGCGTGTGAAATATCACGAGTTGCATAACTGACATGAGTCTTCCCACCGAGGCTGAAACACGCAAGATACTGATCTCTCCTGTCCTGTGGCCCTTTCCACATGAAATATGAACGAGCTGCAAGAGCGCCACGCAATCGAGGGAAGCTGAGGGTGACCCGATGGTGCGCCCGGGGCCCCAGCCTGAGAGACACAACCTGAAGTCCAGGCGGGTCCTCCTTTAGCTACCCCGCTGGGAGGGCCAGGGAGTGGGAGCCTTGGTGCTACTTCCTTTTCTTTTCGCCCCTCTATCCCTGCCAACATCAAGTGGCCAAAGTCAGCTGGATGCTATCCAGTATTTACCTGAGACTCACCTGGTAGACAGGCACAGAGGTGTATTTTCTGATATTACGGTTTGTTGGGGCTCAAGAAGGTGGCCTGGCGTGGTGGCCCAGAGGCCTGAACTAATATTTGTCTGTACATACGTGACAAAGGACCTGCATACATCTGGTCTTATTTAATGCCCGTGAAGGAGAGGTGGCTCGATGTGGGTGAAAAAGACTAGACTTAAGAACAGGCAGACTGAGGTAAAAATTCCAGCTTGCTCATTTTCTAGCTGTGTGACCTTGGGCAAAATACTGAACTCCACTGAGCCTGTTCCCTTACCTGTAAAATGATGGTGACACAACCTACCTCTAACGAATTAGTGTCAGGAGGCAGAAACGGGACAACCATATGAAGCCCCAAGACAGCCCTGATGCAGAGCAGGAGCTCGCCGAGAGGCGGCTGCCTTCCCGAACCGGCAATTCCGTTAAGACATCCAGTGGATTCTTTGGCCTTTGCTAAATCTATAGACTCCACTGTTTCTCTGCCGAGCTTGGTCAGCCAAGCCCAACAGACATTTTCCTGCTGGCCCAGTTTCCTCTGTTTGCTCCTGCCTGGCTGGCGCTGGGGCTGGCGCTGGAGCTGACTGACTATGTGGGAATGCACACCGAGGGGAGGCCTGGCAGGGCGGCTCTTGGCAGAGCGAACCGGAGCCATGTAAACACTGCACTTAGCCGATGATGAAGTGTTTAAGCACCCCGAGGACCCACAACTTACTCTACCTGCAAAAACATTCATTTCCTTCTGAAATGTTTTGGTTGCTCCAGTCCAGGATGGTGCCAGGAACCCTTTCAAGCAAAACACTGAGCTCAGGAGCCCCGTGTAGACATGTTAGGATGGACGGCTCTCTCTGGAGGACCAGGAGCAACCAGAGAGGCCGGGAGAGGCCGTACCGACTCCATCCTCGACGGATTCCTCCTGCCTTGGCTGTGGGGCTGGGTCCACTCCCAGTAAACTCGGATGAGGGGATGGTGACACAGCCAAGGGGACGTTTCAGGTAAAAATAAAACCAGAGTCCATTAAGTATGAATGCTGTGATGGTTCCTTAAATAAAAACGTTTCCTTTATATTCAGAAACACTTAAATGATGTTTTTTCTTTGTTTTTTAGGTGAGGGAGACTGGCCCTGAGCTAACATCTGTGCCAATCTTCCTCTATTTTGTATGTGGGATGCTGCCACAGCGTGCTTTGATGAGCAGCGTGTAGGTCTATGCCTGGGGTTCCGAACCGGTGAACCCAGGGCCAGTGAAGCGGAGCATGTGAACTTAACCACTACGCTACCAGGCTGATCCCTTAAATTATGTTTTATTTAATGTTAATTTAAAGAAAGAAAATGAAAATCTATTCTTTTTCTTTTTTTTCTGAGGAAGATTAGCCCTGAGCTAACTGCTGCCAATCCTTCTCTTTTTGCTGAGGAAGACTGGCCCTGAGTTAATATCCATGCCCATCTTCCTCTACTTTATATGTGGGACGCCTACCACAGCATGGTGTGCCAAGCGGTGCCATGTCTGCATCTGGGATCCGAACCGGCGAAACCCGGGCCGCCAAGAAGCGGAATGTGCTAACTTAACTGCTGCGCCACCAGGCCGGACTGAAAATCTATTCTTAAAAGGGTTCTTAACACTAAAACTTTGCTTTCGATTCATTCCTGGGGAATAATTTGTAAGTCCTGGTCTGGGGTGACAGAGGGCCCCAGTTGGGTCCTGGCTTGGCCACTGGAGCCAAGTGCTGTGGGGCGAGGGGCTGACATCCATTTCCCCATCTGTATAAAGAAATAACGATACCTCGCTTCACGAGTTAGGTGGAATACGGCCATCAAACCGACATGTGGACTTCTGACAGCAGCAAGGGTCCGACTGGACTATGCTCTCTGCGGAGCGCCCGGCTCACCCCTCCTTGCTCTCCCAGGGTCCACTACGGTCCTGGCACATGGCAAGGGCTCTTCATTTCCTTGTTGAATAAAAGGACGCCTACAAGTGCAGTTCACCCATCACAGGCTGGCAGAGCCGAAGACCTCAGATCAGTCACTCCTTACTCTGCACGCCAGGAAGCTGAGGCCTCGTAAGTTTAATTACCTGAGGTTGTAAGTGAACTAGTGATGGACTTGAGCTTCAACCTGGGCGCTCCAAGCTCAGAGATAATGATGCCAACCACACTAAGAGTAACTGCCACGATTTACTGAGGACTGACTATGTGTCAGGCCTCGCTCTAGGCACTATGCTCGTAACGATTTCCTGAACCCTCGCAAAAACTCATTTTACAGATGATGAAACTGAGACTCAGGGAGGCAAAGCCACTGGCCCAAAGTCACACAGCTGACGAATTGCAGAGCTGGGGTCTGAACCCCGGGGTTTGGCTCCTATATCCACTCTTAGCTACTACGCTGCTCCTCACTGCACAGCACTGAAGAAAAGAGTCTGGAACCCAATAGTTCAAAGCTGCTTTGATCGAGCTGGGAAAGTTCCGGCTAAGAGCAGTTTTTGTTAATCTTAGAAAAATCAAAAGGCAAAAGGACCGAGATGTGTGCCTCGCTGCTCCTGAATGCTGGCACTTCCGGTGAGAGTCCGGCTACGACGCAGCCTCAGGGCGCGGGGGCTGTGTGACGACCTCTTTGGCCCTCCCTGTGCATCACCAGCTGGTCCTCACCCCGGAAGGACACATCCAGGAGTAGACCAAACCTCTAATTTTCCTGTTCCGGTTTCAGATCTCTACCCCTCTGCCAGCTGGGAAGACGCCCACTTGTGACAGAGTCTCCCACCTCCACCTCTCCACTGGGTGGGCGTCACGCTGACCATGTAGCATCGAGGCCTAAACAGCAAAGCTCTTGCTTGGACTCCAACAAGCTCCATCCCCAAATTGTTAAAAGCATTCCCCACCAAGACAGCAGTTCTGTTTAAAAGATGAGCCCAAAAAGGGATGTTATAAAGCACAAGAAGCAAGCGGCTGCGACACAGAGGTACAGATGCGAGGCGGACAGTGCCCGCAGGCCCGGGCTACCCACCACGTCCGGCGCCTTCTGGATCTGCGAGGCCAGCTGGAGAGAGTGGTTTGCTGACGAGAGCTGCTCCCTTAAGGTCTCCGCCTCTCTCTGAGCCACCTCTGCCCTCTGAAGGAAATGAAAAGGGGTGGAAAGAGAAAGTACATTCAGTTTAACAACTGACAATTATTACAAGAACATTCATCAATTCATGCCTGACTGACTATAATTGATTTTCCTAAACACTCAAGCTAATAAATGCTAGAAAAAAACATAGAATGTGATGGATTTTTATTTTAAACAGTACAAGGAAGAAATAATTGAGCGATTATGACAGTAATTTAACGCTAGGAGCAAGAAATCCCCTGCTGATACTAATGCTCCGGCCCACTGAATTTCCCAGACTGAATAAATACAAGTGGAAATAGAGTCTTTTGATTCAATTTCTTTCTATTCTCATAGACCAAGAAGATTTTATTGCAGGATTACTCCTGGGAGTAATTCTCACGGGTGAACAGTGAATTAAAGACACTCTGGCCATTCTCTTCCTAAAAACACGCACAATGTTGTGGTTGTTTTCCTCCAGCAAGTATTTCCATAAATGTACAGGGTGTAAATGCCACTTCTTTTGTGAGGGCCAGGCTTATTTCAACATATTTAACCCTTCACCCGACAAAGTTTTCTAACGCCGATGCTGGCGTTTCCAGCCCGCTGGGCTGGTCTGGGGCCACAGGCAGGAGGGGCGCCCAGGCCCCTGGGGGTGAAGAGGAATGGAGCCGACTGCAAGAAGGAGCTGCGAGAGCAATCAGTGGATGCTTCCATTATTTGCCTGTAATTCCTGGACAAGGAAACCAACGCCACTGTGCAGCAAACCAGGATTTCCTGCTGGATGGCGAGAATCAGTCACTCCAGTGCCCGCACCCGAGGGGGCACTGTGGTGCAGCGGGCAGGAGATGGGCATCTAGGAACAGAGGGGCGAGGGCAAGTGACCTAAATACACTTCCACCTTCCCACCTCTGAAATGGGAACACCGTCTCCCTCTCGGGGACCTTGCGAAGACGAACACCGACACTGTACACAGAACTCACTTGGAAGTGTTTTCTTAATGGCTTGTCCTGACGTTACGACTATGATGGAGACGAAATCTAAGATGGGTGCAAAGCGGGAGCTAACTGACACTGGGCACATGCGCTCTGAGAAGTAATGTGCTTCTTCTGCACCAGACTTACATTCCGCTAATAGAAAAGATGGACGAGGAAAGCCCGGGTGAGCAGGGCTATCGTGTGGGGCCTTATTTTGTGGTGTGACAGCATGTGTCTACTAATTGCTAAGGCAGAACTGAAACAGAGAAACAAGAAGTTGGCCTGCACCAGCTCTCGCTGACCAGTCCCCTTGTGGGAGGCCTGGGCTGGCAGCCTTGAGCGATGCTGTGGTGGCGGGCAATGCCGTGGGCTCTGCATACAGACCAATTAGGATATTCCTAACAGCAGTTCCCTCTGCCCAGGGGGTGCTGGCAGCCACCTGCCCTGCCTTTCCAGGGGCTCTTGGAATCGCACTCAACCTAATTCCCACGGCGCCTGGCCTGTCTGTGCCCCAGCAGCCACCTCCCCCCCTTCTCTGCTCCAAACAGAATCTGAAAGCCCCTGTCAGGAAAGGTGGCAATGTGACCGGCATGGTGAGGCTGGCAGGGTGACTTCTGGCTCATGCCAACTGCAGGAAGGTCTCCTCTTCAGCGAAAAAGGTATCCCCCAGTTTATTTCCAGATGTGCCACGCCACATTTTTCTGATAATCATGTCCTACTTCTGAAAAGTTTACTCTTCTCTTTCCAGCTAGCTAAACCCTTGGGCATAAAATCTCCATGACTCTGCCAGGAATAAGGTGTATTTTGACATTTCTAGTCTCTGACTAGGAAAAATATTTCTTAGTCTGGTGGAGCAGCTGTTCTGGCAGCCCAGCGAGGCAGTATCACCATCCCACCTGGGCACACTGGCTCTGAGGGGTTCTGGAACCACTGGGCTTGGGCCCCGGCAGTGGGTTCACCACCAGGATCTCCCACGGGCCTTCAGCCAGCCAGCCAGAGCAGACGGCTCCCAGAGGCAGGGATCTAGCTGCTGCTGACTACCCTCGGTTTGCATAATTTCTCCAGAGCTCCTGCACTTCACTCGGTTTCCGAGTTCACATACAGTCACCCCGTGGCCTGTCCATCATGGTCACAGCCTTTTACTACGTTTGGCTTGACTCAGTTACTGTGGCGCCACTTTCTGATTGTTTAGGATTTATACTATTTATTTAGGATTTATACCCTGAGTACCTCGAAAACAAAACCAAACAAAATGAGTGGAAGTGGTTTGTGCCGCTAAACATCCACAAAGCAGAATAATTAAAAATAAGAACAGGCCTGAGAGCAGTGAAGGAGGGACGGGAACTGGACGCTGGCAGGCAGCTGGGGCGGACTGGTTCTGTAGCTGTACACTGGGCCCTGCTGTGGGCACCTGAGGCAGGAGGCACGGGATGCTGTGCCAGGTCAGCACCATGCATCACCCGTTGCCAGGTTCTCCCATCTTCCTGATGGCCACAGGCCAACCAGATGAAGTTCTATTTCTGGCCCTGGAATCAATGACAGGAGGTGGACAGCTCTGGTGCTGTTTTCTGATCTGGACCCCCAGACAGAGCTATGGTTGCCGTGGGACACCCAACTCCCTGTTCCCACTGATGAGCTGCCTTGAACCTCCCATCCCTGTCCCTGCAGACGCACAGCCTGGGGACCAAGGCCAGGGCTCCGCGAGCAGCTGGCAGCAGCCTCGAGTGTGATTCAGCAGCCGCCCCACGATGAGAACAGCGCTTTGCCAAGCCCAGCGGCTCTCCTGAGAGACTTCTCTTGCTGGCTGTTGCTTACTCTCTGTACTTTTCTGAGAAGTGAGTAAATGCTGGAAGCACAGGGAAAGTAAAGAGGGCGGGCACATGAATGAATGAGGCTATTGCTTCCACTCTGGCAGTAACTCTGGCCGCAAAGATAGAAACAGCCGCCTTGCAGGACGACTGAGGACCAAGGAGACAACGTAAGCCAAGTGCCCACCGTGTGGTGTCGGGGGGCCTGGACATTATTAGTAGTAGTAGTAAGCCCTCTGACATGTGCTACCTCTGGTGGTCATTACTCTTTCTTCCCCTTAAAATGGAAAACTTTTGTGGGGAAATTACGAGAGACTGTAGCTGGTCTCCAGGTTGAACTCCAGCTCCCTCAGCAGTCACCTGGGGGGCAGGAAGTGGCTGGTGAAACTGGTTCAAGAATTCCTCCGTTAGAGCCGAGCCAGCAAACAGCAGTGATGACTCCCACCCACGTGACACCGGCCGGCCCAACAGTCACAGGTGAGCTTTTCGTGTCAGGAAGGGCAGCCAAACTGTGGGCCCGCGGTGTCACCTCCTCCTACAGGAAGGCCCCTCCAACAGGGGACCCTCGCACTCCTCAAGGTCTCCTGGGAGGCCTGGGAAGGACAGTGAAGGAAGGCTTTCCCCTCCTCTCAGTCCCCAAGGAGCACACATTGGAATGAGCATACAGGATGCTGACAGCTGGCTCCAGACCTTAAAGTCTGACAAATTGGGTTCATACAGTGTGGAGGACAAGCCTGGCTGGGTGGGGTGGCCAGAGGAGGCGAAGGCAGGGCCTCGGGGCAACTGGAGGGCTGGGGGGCCGGTCACAGGCTGGTGTAAAACGCAGGTCCCAGATCCACGGAGAGGTGGCTGAGTTTTCTTCCTGCCCAGCACCAAGGGCATCCTCCCCATCGCCCCTATGGAGCGAGCTTCTTCCCAGTTTACCCACTGAAGGTGTGGCCTTTGGGTCCCTGGTTTTATATGATGGTGGTGGTGTCTCTGATCCAGCCTCCTGCCCAACGTGGTCCTAGACTTTGTCTCTTGTCCGCTCTGTAGGTGTGGCCATGAAAACCCAGGCTCGGGGACACCCGAGATGGGCAAGTTCCTCCACCGACTACAGCCATGTGAGCTGGCAACGGGCTGTCCCCCTAGGTGGACCCATAGTTTCCAGGGTGGGACTTGGCTAGTAACACGTGTCTGTTAGCAGGTGGTCAGTCCCTCCTTATATTACTTTCCTAAGGCTGAAAAATGTCACAAGTTGAGTGGATTAAAACAACACAAATTGATGATCTTATGGTACTGGAGGTCAGCAGTCTGTAATGGGCTAAGATCAAGGTGTCAGCAGGGCGGCGTTCCTTTCTGAGGCTCTAAGGGAGAACCTATTTTCTTGCTATTTCCAGCTTTTAGAGGTCGCCCGCACTCCTTGGCTCGTGGCCCCCTCCTCCGTCTTCAAAGCCAGCAGTGGCTAAGTCAAATCTTTCTTAGAGCACATCCCTCTGACAGTGACTCTTCTGCCTCCCTGTCTGCCTCTAACAACCCTGGTGATGGCACAGGGCCCACCCCATAACCCTAGGCAATCTCCCATCTCAAGGTCAGCTGAGTGACAGCCTTAATTCCTCTTTGCCAGGTAAGTGAACATATTCACAGCTCGTGGGCGTTGGGATGTGGACATCTTTAGGGGCCATTCTTCTGGCCACCATGCTCCTCAAGGACAAATAACACCACGTTTGGACCACTGCAAGGAGAAGGCAAGCTCTCGGGGACAACCCTACGACCTGCTCCCCCAAGGCCCTGCACGCTGGACGGAGAGAGACAAGAGGAGCAAGACTACAAAGACCAGCAAACGAAACGGCCCTCCCAATGGAACCGCCTCCATCGCTTTGGAAAGTGCACAGCCAGCTTCTGGTCGTCCTTCCAGAGCAATACCCACGTGCGGCTCCAGACAACAGCTCGAATCCCAGAGGCAAGCCCGCTCCAGCGATTCTGCAGGAGGGAGGTCAGAAATGTTTGCCAAGAAATTTATTGCCATGTGCCCCAAGCTGGCCCTGTGCTGGTGATCAAAGTCCCCATTTAGACCCACTGCCTGTGTTTCTGGGGACTTGTCGCACATTGATTTGAATTCTTTTCTGAGGTCGGCCAGGCTGAAAGCTGGAACGGCACCACGCCACTCATATAAACACTGCTTGTCACAACCTGAGTCACAATTTCAGGAAAGCCAGAAGAGCAATTGTCCCTACCTCTCCTGTCACAAAGGCCTCCC